ATCAATTACATCCTGGGATCTAATATATAAACCCAATATTGCAGGTCTTGTGCATAATTATTCTAAAGAATCTTATTTTGTGTACTTATGGATCAGAATAGTGAAGTGAAATCATGGCAATCATCTTTCGGGACTGACCTGAAATGAAGAGACTACTCATTGCTGATCACTTGCTTAAAAAAAAAAAAAAAGTGTATATTGACATATAATGTAAAAAGAAAAGTCTACATATTAACAATGCAGCCAACTATCCAAGTGTCTTATCAACTAAAACATCAAATAAACCTTGAACAGTGAAAAAAAAAAGTTGAGTGAAAAAAGGTATATAGCACAATTATCATTCATATATACTTAAAACACACAAAACATGTTTTGCAAGGAAACAAACATATTCAAATGTTACTTCCTTGCACTCACACTAACCCAGATTTCTCTCCTATATTCCTTTAACTTGGTATTTTTTCTTTAAAAAAAATTTTTTTTAAAGATTTTATTTATACTTTAGAGAGAGGGGAAGGGAGGGAGAAAGAGAGGTAGAGAAACATCAGTGTGCTAGTGAAACCTGCTGCCTCTCTCAGGCTCCCAGCCCGGGACCCAGCCCACAACCCAGGCATGTGACCTGACTGGGAATCAAACCGGTGACCTTTTTGTTTGCAGGCAGACACTTAATCTACTGAGTCACACCAGCCAGGGCTATTTTTCTTTATGGCACTAGATTGTCTACTCCATGAGAAAAGTTCCTTCCTGTCTTGATCACTGTCATATCTCCAGCTCCTAGAACAGAACCGGGGACATTGTAGATGGTTGATAAATATTTGTACCTGAATGAATGAATAAATGGTGGACAAATAGCCAACAGAAAGCAGGGCCTATGGGGCGGGGAGAGGAGGGCAAGGATGAGTAGGGAAAAATCAACCAATCAATCAATCAATCAAAGAAGGGACATATAATGGTATGTCATGAATGGTTCATAAAAATAATTACAATTATTTTATAAATTCATTACTATGGAAATTAGACCCTGCATAAGGCTGTCACCTGGCTGTCCAGCTTCCTCTGATTTTACTCTCTCCCTGACCACTATGTTGTAGCCAAGCAGGCCTCTGCCAGTTCCTAGAACGCCCTGACCATCTTCAGGCCTTTGTACAAGATGTACCCTTTGCCTATATACTTTTTCTCTAGTTCTTTCTCTCATTCTTCAAGTTTCAGCTTAAGGTCTTCCCCAGAGTGAGCTCCCCTAACCATCCTAGCTAGCATTTTCCTTTCTTCCAAGTTTCTCTTATCACATTACCTGTTCATTATCTTACCAAGCTCTATGATTATTTTGTTATGATTATTTTTGTTTTGTTATGAACGTCTGTACCCACTGAATTTAAGCTCCAAGATGGGGGCTCCAGTCTGCTTGGTCTTACCTGACACACTGCCTGGCAGAGGAGCCGGTACTCAAATAATTGCTGAGCGAATCAATGAGAGAAAAGATAGATTATAAGGTCTCTACAGGAAAGGAGGGAGGGAAGAAGATTGGGAGATGGGGAGTCTTGATGAGGTCAAAGAACGGGTGTGGGGACAGACAGGGCTGGATGGAAAACAGGCTGTGGTCAATCCCCTTTAAGTCCTGATGACAGTGTTTCAGCATTAACATGTTGGTTGGTGGGATCATGGGAAAAACTCTTCCTTTAGAGTGTTTTTATAGAGTGTTACAATACTGTTCGCATAAAATAAAAATCAAGACAGGATAAGTGTTTCTATGGTAATGCACTAAGTCCTCACAACCACCCAGTGAAAGTATTATTATTCCCATAACAACAACTAAAATCTAATGTGTTCTATGTGGCAGGCACTGTCTAAGCGCCTTTCATGTAACTCACTTAAATCTCAAAAAGCCCCTTTGAGAAAGGTCCTGTTGTCATTATACTGATCAGGGGCGAGGCACAGAACGGTTAAGACTTGCTCACTTTACGTTGGGCCATGATTCGAACCCTGACCTAAATCCAAAGCCTGTATCTTTCCTCTCAACCGCCTAAAGTCTAGGTGAAAACCAGAACGGTTGCAGGACACGGTAACCAGTCGTCCAAGGTTTGCTCCATCGCCTGTGTGAGCACACACCACGTGACTCGCGAGGCTCGGGAACGGACAACGGTCTATTAGACGGCCAGTCAATACCCCTCGAACCCCGGGACCCACGTGACTGACCTTTTCACCACCATGGTCTCGCGGGACTTACACTGACCAAACTCGTTCCTCTTTGCTACTGATACCCCACTTCCACCTTACCTCCCGACGGCGACCAGCTTCTGGAGAAAAGTATCCACTGTGGTGTCGAGGAGTTTCAGCCTCGAAATGGTAGTGCCGTGGGGCACGGATTCGGCAGACGACCCCTCAGGCCCTTTTTCCTCACAGCAGCTGCCTACACTGCCAGTGCTTGCTTCGGCCATGTTGAAGTCGAACCGCCAAATCTAACCGGCCCGGCTGCCCCGCCCACCGAGGCCTCCGATTGGAAGCAGCGGACTGTCTATCACCGAGCTGCTGGAGGCTGACGGTTATCCACAGACAACAGCTGTGCTGTAGCGCCCTCGGTACTTCATCCGCAAGCCGGCAAAATAAGCGCCAGCCAAAGCTCAGGAGCTTAATACAAACTTTTAATTACACTTCACAGACTTGGTACAGTGCAATAGTGAATGAATGTTCGCAGTTAATATTCACAAGAGTCCACTTTATCAAATGTTACCGCATCTGCATTTTTGTTCCTCTGTCCCTCAATACTTGCATCGCGTTTCCTGTCTTGCCCGGCCTCCCAAGTTTCTTCCAGTTTGGGCTATGGTCCTAGGAAAACGGAAGCCCACTGGTCCCATTCCCACCAAGTCATGTTTTAATTGAACCCAATTAGATGGGCAAGTAGGGGCCAGGGGTTCCTTTCATTATAAAAAAATAAGCTCATCATCCTTTGAAACTCGTGTGTGTGGGGGGCAGACACAGAAAATGGACAAAAGGCTATGAAATATCGTACAAGAAAATAAATCAGAAGGAGTCTGGGAAGGAGAGACATCCTAAGGCATGAGAGGGCAGGAGATGATGTCCTGTCCATGATACTATACCCACTTTGCCATAGTGGGGACAAGTGTCTAGGGAGGGGAAGGAGTGGAGCTGGAAAACAATCTCCAAAGGTGTCACTAAAATGGGTTTAAACAGAGAGAAGGCTAGCTTCTATTATGTTGGGGGTTCTTAAGGTAAATGGGTGACTGAGGGGCAGGAAGATTCAGAATGATCTGTGGGCCCAACCCTTTGGATGATCATTTGTAGATAGAAACTGAAGAACTCTTGACAAAGTGCAAGAAAAGGCAAATAAAAATAAAGATAAGTTAAAGGGAACATAACCCTCAAAGGTAAAAGACCAGGACGGGCAGTGGTGGTGGTGAAGGTAGAAAAATGTGGTTTTCAGATTCTAATCTGGCCAGGGTGATAGAATGTGGGGCAGCCATAAGAAATAGAAAGGCTTCAGAAGGTAACTAGCACCTTTCAAATCGGCACCATGGCCATTCCCAGGGGGTGGGACCAATAAGAAGGTTTGAAGAATCATCCTGGCCAAATGTCTCAAGTAGAAGCGCAGGGTTTGATATGCTTTCTTCTTATCCTGTTTCCTGTACCTCTCTTCACCTGCAACACAGGCTTGGTAGACAAGGTGGGGAGGATGAGGCAGGGAAGGAGCGCTCATCATCTAGCTCCTGAGAGCCTCACCAGATAATCTCGGCAGTTATCACGCTGGTATGCAGTGGTCCTGGTATTGGGTGATTTCCTGACGTGCTCTTTACTGTCTTCTAAGCATCCCTCTAAAAGGTTCCATGACTGGGATGACTTAACTAACGTTGGGGAGAAGAAAGCACAAACAGTTCCATGTATCAGAGATTCCCAGTGTGAGACAACTGTTTCCGCTGAGTCCAAGTGATTGGGGTGTGTATGCATTATGTTATACTGCTTGGGGCTGAAACCTACACTGCCCTCTCTTAGGCTTGGCTCAGCTGGTCTGGAGAGACGGGCTGAGGCAAACATACCCTCTTGTTACATTCCAAACCAGCTACCCTCTCAACCTGACTTTTCGGGGCAGTGCTCCAAGTTCCATGTGCCCTAGATAGCCTGATCTACTTAGAATTGTGCCTACCACAAGTCATCCGGGTCAGGGGAAGCCAACAGCTTATATATCCTGAGGCTGCAGAAGCTGAAGGGACATGGAAAGGATAGGGAAAAGCTACATTATATTTCTTTACCTGTGTGAGGGAGGGGTGAGCTATGACTGCAGGGTTGTATTGGTGCTTTAGCAGGACAAAGACAGTACCTGGTTCACAGATGTTAAAAAATATAAACACATGAAATAAAGTATTAACATTTCTCCCCAACACAGTAACTCCAAAGAGAAGATGAGTACTCTAGTTTTTTGCTGTTTCTCCTCCCTGTGCAAAAGTGCCTGGCACCTTGTCCCCAGTGGTAGGAAAAAGCACAGTAGTCTGGTGGACAAATCTGTCCCAAAATAAAAATCAGCAAGCCTAAGAAATGAATCAGGAAAGGGTTGATGGCAGTTGCTTAGAATCTGGGCTGAAGGCCCAAGTAGAAGAACCAGTGGTAGTAAGCAAGCTCTATGTACAGCTCTTATCAGGATCTCAGGGACAGAGATGGAAGGGGAAGCCAGAAGAAGGGTTAGCAGAGGAGGGGCAGAGAGGGACTAGCAGGGAGGGTGGGTTTCCTTAGGGCAGGACTGAGTACAGGGACTAAGTGAGGGAGCCCAGTTTGGCAAGAAAACTAAAAATAATTGGGGCAGGAGATGCAGGTGTGGAGACTCTTCAGCAAGAGCAGTTCAAAGTCTCTGTGCCTGTTCCAGACAGGGCACCTGGCCTGGGGCAGGGCTAGGTATGTGGCAGGGGCACCTGGAGAGGGTGCTATCCTCCCTACTCTGCCCCAGACCCAGGGTAGTTTGGGAAACAGCAGGCTTCTGTCCCACCACTGGTTACCAGTGTCTCGAGTCCACCAGCTCAGGTCGGAGGCTGAGTTTCTTGAGGCTCTCATAGCCCACCACAATGACAATGGTAGAGGGCGTGGCTGAGATGATTCTGGCTGAGAGGCCCTTCATGAGGCCCCAAGGCCCCTCTTCTGCCATCAGCTGTCTGAAGGTCAGGATGATGGAGTTCTTGCCCTCAACCTAGAAAAGGCAACACCGTGGAGAGTCATGGTCTGCAGTTAAAGCTCCTCTGCTCATTCTCCCTCTGCCTTAGGGTGAATTTGAATTCTGGGTTTGAATTCTGCTCCCCAATTTACCAACAGCATAACCTCAGGTAATTTACTTAACTCTTTGTATCTCAGCTTCCTTGAATATAAAACAGTGACAAATGTTCCTATGCCATGTGGTTGTTCTGAGCAGTAAACAAAAGAATACTAGTAAATGTTGAGAACAGGGCCTGGCAGAGAGTAAGTGTTCGATAATCATTAGCCATTATTTAATATCATTAGATAAGCTACACAGCTATGAGTCTTGGGACTGGGTGCTTCTCTTTGGTCTCAGGGAGGTTGGACTAAATCACCTCTAAGGTCCTCTCCCAGTCTGTGATTTTTGACTCTGATCATCCCAAGCCCTCTGAACTCCCACGGCGAGAGTCCTCCCGCTAGCCAGGCTTTCAGTGTGGTAGGGGAGGCAGGTGCTGGGGAGACACCTATCTTCCCTATCACAATGGAAGCCTGGCTAAGGCAGGAATCTCTTTTCTTTCTCCACAGTCCTGTCCCTTTCCCCCCATCCCCATCCCCTACCTCCAAACCACACCTTTAGAGACTGCCCATTCAGACCCTCAGTCAAGGCAGGACAGGTACATTCCTTGGTATACTTCCCCCTGTATTGTATGACCTTCACGAGCTGACCTCACCTATGGCTGAGAACATCTCCCTACTCATCGTGCCTCTCCCACGCTCCTCTCATCAGCCCTCTCATCTGACCACCTGCGCTCCCCTAATCCGCACGCTTACCCACGGCCATGTCAAGGGCTTTACAGCTATACCTCTGGCCCTCATATGCATTTCATCTCCTCCAGCCTGGGAGTACCTCACAGTAGAGACCTGTCCTTTCCCTGGATCTCTTTGTGGAACACCTAGGATAAGGCTCAGGAGGGAATAAAGATGGAGCCTGTGTACCTTATTATTTGCAAACCAATCAGATGCCCATTTATTGATTTTCAAATGTGTGTGGTGGGAAGAGGACATTCTTTCTTGAGACAAAGTACCTAGATTTTCCCAGACAAGAAAAAGAGGAGATCATCCCCACCAAACCAGTATTACGAGAAATGTTAAAGAGACGTCTTTAAAAAGAAGGGAAAAAAAGATAAAAAATATGTAAATAATAGCAGTAACTAAATACCTAATTACTTTAAAATGTAAATGGATTAAATGCTCCAATCAAAAGACATAGGGTGGCTAAATGGATAAGAAAACAAGACCCACACATATGCTGCCTACAAGAGACCCACTTCAGATCAAAAGACATACAGATTGAAAGTAAAGGGATGGAAAAAGATATTTCATGCAAATGGAAATAGGAAGAGAAGCTGAGGTAGCAATACTTATATCAGACAAAATAGACTTTAAAACAAAGCTATAACAAGAGACAAAAAAGGACCCAGCCATTCCATTTCTGGGTATTTACTGGAAGAAACCCAAAACACTAATTCGAAAAGATGTATGTATCCCTATGTTCATTGCAGCATTTAGTATAACCAAGATATGGAAGCAACCTAAGTGTCCACCAATAGATAAATGGAAAAAGAAGAGACGGTTCCATATATACAATGGAATATTACTCAGCCATAAAAAAAAAAGAATGGAATTTTGCCCTGTCCAGGTGGCTCAGTTGGTTGGAGCATTGTCCTGTACACCAAAGGGCTACAGGTTCAATCCCTGGTCAGAGCATGTATGGGAGGCAACTGATCTATATTTCTCTCTCTCTCTCTCTCTCTCTCTCTCTGCTCCCCTTCCTCTCTCTCTCAAATTAATAAATATATTGAGGATTAAAATTTTAAAAAAAAAAGAGAGAGATAATGGAACTTGGCCATTTGCAATAACATGGATGGACCTGGAGGTAATTAAGCTAAATGAAAAAAGTCAGACAAAGACAAATATCATGTGATTTTGCTTATATATGGAATATAAAAAAATAAATGAACAAACAAAACAGAAATAGACACATAGATAAAGAGAACATTTTGATGGTTGGCAGATGAGAGGGGGTTTGAGCAGTTTGGCGGAAAAAGGGGAAGGGATTAAGATGTGCAACTTGCCAGTTAGAAAAACAGTGCCAGGGATGTAAAGTACAGCATAGGGAATATAGTAATAACTATGAATGGTGTCAGACAGCTACTAGACTTACCGGGGTGATCACTTCATAATTTATATAAAGGACTAATCATTATGCCGTACTCCTGAAACTAGTGCAATACCATATGTCAACTATAGTTGAAAAATTTTTTAAAAAGTTATTTTTAAAAAATACCTAGATTGACCCTGGCTCGGTAGCCCGCTTAGTTAGAGCAGGGGTCCCCTGCATCCCCCCTCGCGGTCTGTGGACACCACCTGCATTACCACCTGAACTCCACCTCCTGTCTCCCCCTACTCCACCCTGGTCTGTGGAAAAATTGTCTTCCACAAAAATGGTCCCTGGTGCTGAGAAGGTTGGGGACTACTGAGTTAGAGTGTCATCCTGATACCCAAGGTTGCGGGTTTGATCCCAGTCAGGGCACATACAAGGATCAAGAAATAAGCCCTAACCAGTGTGGCTCAGTTGGTTAGGTGTTGTCCTGCAGAGCAGAGCATCACTGATTTGATTCCCAGTCGGGGCACATGCCTGGGTTGTGGGTTTGGTCCCCAGTTAGGGCACGTATGAGAGGCAACTGATCGATGTTTCTCTTTCACATCAGTGTTTCTCTCCTCTTTCTCCTTCTCTCTAAAAATAAATAAATAAAATCTTAAAAAGAAAAAAAAATCAACCAATGAATGCATAAATAAGTGGAACAACAAATCAATGTGTGTCTCTCCCTTCCTCTCTCTCTAAAAATCAATAAATAAAATTTTAAAAATATTGGACGGATCGAGCAAAAAAGAAAAGGACTCATGGAGATGGACAACAGTGTGGTACCTGTTGCAGGGAGGGGGGTGGGTGGAGATGGAAGCTGGGTAGGGGGATAAATGGAGGTGAAAAAATTTTAAAATATACCTAATGGCTACTGTGGGAGGAGGTTGGGGAGGAGACCGGTCTTACCTGCACTCGGGTTCGGATGACATCCATGGGATTGGTGAGGATGGAAGCAGTAGCCGCAGCCAGCGGCCCTGAGATGGCTTGAAAGACGATGTGAGGGCACTCCTTAGGGCAGAGGTGTGAGAGCTGCTCTGGAATGGAGGGCAAGAGGACGCTTTGAGACACGAGGCGCCACCCTGCCTGCCCTCACACTGCTTCTCCCGGCTGGCCCAAACCCTCCATCCTCAGCCACCTTAGACTGACCCCCGCCCCATCACTATGACTCCCATTTCTTTTTTCTCTTTGTGTCCTTCCGAACCAATAAAAAAATCATAAATCTAAGGCTCTTTCCAAAAGTCATCTTGCTTATATCCTCTGGAGAAGGAAGCCTCACAACCTCTTTGCTTGCTGACTCCTTTCACCTGATGAACAGAAAGCTTTCCTGATATAAAAATATCATGCCTGTGCTCTGCTCCACCCAACTCATATGCTAGAAAAGCACACACTACATATCTTCTATTTTATGCATTGAATAACTGGTAGGATACATTAAAAACTGGTAACGCCGACTGTGGCGAGTCAGGGGCCTTTTCACAGGACACCCTTTCCTATCTTTTGACTTCGGAACCATGTCAATGTTTTTACAAATAACAACAATTAGAATTAAAAGAGAAAGTTATATCTTACAGTGAGAACTTTTCTCCAGCCTTTATAAAGAAAAATTCACTTTTAAAAATGCTAATGAAGAAAATTGAATGGCACCCAGATTCACCATTTCCAGTATCACTGGGAAGTTCATCTGCAATTGAATTTTTGCTTTACCCTCTCCGGAGGTGAAAGACAAGAGTTCATGCATTTATCCAACAAAGATGTATCGAGTGGCTACCATGAGCCAGTCACCCTGAGTTCTAAGGATATAACAGTGAATAAACAAGCCTCAAAATCCCTGCCCCTATGAAATTTACATTTTAATGGGGTGAGACAGACAATAAACAAATAAAAAGCAAAATATATAGCTTTGTCAGAAGGCGGTATGTGCTAGCTATAGATAAAGCAGGAAAGGAAGATAGGAGTTGCCAAGGGTAAGGGTGAAGGGGGTATCATTTTAAACAACACAGTGATGGAAGCCCTCTTCAAGAAGGTGAAGCTTGAGCAAAGTCCAAAAGGAAAGTGCAAACCATACGGCTCTGTGGGAAGAACTTTCCAAGCAGAAGTAACATCCTATGTAAAGGCACTGAGGCAGAAGCGTATCTGAAGTCTTCAAAGAGCGGCAAGGCCAGAATGCCGGGAGCAGAATGAGGGAAATCACAGTAGATGAGGTCCAAGAGTTAAATCATTTAGGACCTTGATGCCATCGCAAGGACTTTGGCTTTTACTCTAAGTGCAGCTGGACGTAAAATAGATTCATCATCTCAAAGATCCACTCTGAGTTTTCTCTCTACAATTCCATCATCGTATACCTTTAAGAATTTTTTCTCAGGCTCCTAGTCTGGGTAATTTGTGGCCAGGCATCTAAACATTAGGGGACAAGTAGGATGGTGGGTATTGGCAGGGCAGAAATGAGAGCTTCTAAGTCCTGGCAGCATGGCAGAATTCCTTAAGCCCTTCCAGAACCACCTCTCCCTGATTTCTAAGCACTTTCTTTCCCAGTGTCAGCATACAGACAGAAACAGAGTAAACTGGTGCCTCCACCTCATGGGTATCCTGTTTCTCTTGATAAGAAAGCATTTCATAACCTTTGGAAGGGAGCACCTGGGCTGGCACTGCCGGCCTCCTTGGGCCTGTCTGCACTGGCCCCCAGGCCTGTAAGCTGCAATGGGATCCAGAGTCCAATTCTAGCCATGCATACGTGCCTTCTTCCTTGGGCTTAGGGAGAGGATGGCAAATCAGAGACAAGGGGGTGGGGGAAAGAGTCTCATGTCTTTCCTTCTTCATTATTCATTCAGCAAGTGCTTATTGGGCACACATTACCTGACTTGGTTTAAGTCCCTCCTGGCTAGATGACTTTGGACAAGAAATATGAATCAATATTTATTTAATGCTTACCAGATGCTAGGCATTGAGATAAGCACTAGACATAAAACAGAGAAATAGAGAAATGCCTTCATGGGGATTCACAGTCTAAGGAATTGGGAGTTGGAAATAAAATAACTGAAAATTACAGCAAGTGCTCTGATGGAAACAAGGTGCTGAAAAAGAAAAGAGAAAGAGCCCTCTTTCCAACTGGATAGTTAAAGAAGTTCACTTTGCAAAGGGGGTGCGGAAGCTAAGGCCTGAAGCTTGAGAAGGACCAGTTACACAAAGAGTAGGGGAAAGGGTATTCCAGGCAGAAAGAATGTTATCTACAAGAGCTCTGAGGTAAGAACAGAGCTTGGTGTGTTTCAGGAACTGAAAGAAAGGCAGTGAATATGGACCAGGATGCGGAAGGGGAAAAACACAAGATGGGGCTGATGAAGCAGACAGGAGTCAGATCATGTAGACCTGTGCTGACGAAGGGAAGCACTAGATTTTATTCTAAATGCCCATAAATCAACGCTGGTAGATTTTAAGCAAAAGGGGGTGACAAGAACCAATCCACTCCTTTAGCAACTATTTACTGAGCACTTTGATTTACCAGACCCTGAGACACACAGTAGTCATAGAGTCTGGCATGTAATGGATATTCAACAAATGTTAGTTTCCTCTCCCTTTCAAGGAAGTTTCCAGTCAATTGTATCTCAAAATAGCTGGGAAAACATGCATTAAAAAAAATAATAAAAGAATCTTTCTACATTGTAGAAGAGATAAGGCACACACAAATAACAAGACAAATGTTATAACTGCCTTAAGAAAGATACAAGCAATATCATGGAGGTTGGAAAGAAAGATCATTTCTGGGTTAAAGGCTACATGGAGAGGACGGGAAAGACAATAAGAAGCGATTAAGTCATGATTTCACCAGGGTAAGTGTCCCTGTAAAGCATCTAGGCAGAGGAATGATATGAACAAAGCCAAGGTAGGAGAAATGGTGCATGGTTGAGGAGTTTTACATTAGCTGGCCTGGTTGCAGCATAGACTATATGCAAAGGGGAGCAGCAAGAGGATTCGCCATAAAGGGAGGTTGAAGAGTCTGGATTTTACCCAGCAAGCAGTGGATCCACTGAAAACCATGACAGGGTTTAATGGGGCATTGGTGGTTCAGTGGTAGAGTGCTCACCTCCCATGACAGGGTTTAAAAAATTAATTGATTAGAGAGGTGACTGATGGCTAGGAAGGCAGAGACTTAAGAGAGAACAGGCTGGTGCTTCAGTCCAGGAGGGTGGTGGCAGTGGCATGGCTTCCAGGAACGGCAGTAGGAATAGAGAGAAAGTTGGGAGAGACATCTGGGTCACAAGGACTACATGTGGTAACAAGGAAAAGGGAGTGGCCACACACAATCCCCAAGGCTTCAGTCTCAGTGATTTGGAGAATAACATGACTACTGACAGACAAAAATAAGTCAGAATGGAAAGAAGAATAGTTTTAATTGAACAAAATTTCACATGTAAATACATGCATCCAGGTCAAGAGGTCAGTCAGAATGTTTGTCCGGAGCTCTGGACAGGTTAGTCAGGGAATGGAAATAGATTTTTCGACATGTTCGAAAAGTACAACTCTGCCCTGGCTGGCGTGGCTCAGTGGACTGAGTGCCAGCCTGAGAACCAAAGTGTCACTGGTTTGATTCCCAGTCAGGGCACATGCCTGGGTTGTGGGCCAGATCCCCAGTAGGAGGTTGCTTGAGAGGCAAACACACATTGATGTCTCCCTCCCTCCCTTTCCCTCTCTAAAAATAGATAAAAATCTTAAAAAAAAATTAAAAAAAAGTACAACTCAATTATAAATGAAATCAAATGAGGAGAAAATGAAATCAAATGAAATGATAAAACTCCAGAGAAAATATTCATATTTCCTAGAAGGTTTTCTTTTAAACATTAAGATCGCCAGGATCACCCTGACTGATGTGGCTCAGCGGCTTGGGCGTTGTCCCGCAATCAGAAAGGTTGCATGTCCAGTTCCCAGTGTGAGTTTCTCTCACACATCAATGTTTCTCTCTCTCTCCTTCTCCCTCCCTTCCCCTCTCTAAAATTAAAGAAATAAAAATTTTTAAAAATACATTATAGGAATAGAGAGGTTCATGGTTATATCACATCTTGAATTTAACAATGCCAAGGAAAGGCAGCCAACTCAAAAGCTCACTATTATTCATTAATTTTATCTTCAAATACCAAATACTCCTTAATCTTGTCATTTCCCCCTTTCCAATTCTCTGCCAATATTCCACTAACTCCAGTTATTCCAATGCACCCAGAACACATTCTGTGTTCTACAATCATCTAGTTTACTTGTCTGATTCCCCCACTCTGATATAAGCTCCTTGAAGGCAAGAACTATGTATTCTTATGGTTGTTTTTATTTTACAATTATTAAAAAGACTTTATTATTCTTTAGAAAGGGGAAGGGAGGGAGAAAGAGACAGAGCCATCAATCAGTTGCCTCTCACACCCCCCTAACTGGGGACCTGGCCCGCAACCCAGACATGTGCCCTGACTGGGAATCACGCCAGCAACCTTTCGGCTTGCAGGCCAGTGCTCAATCCACTGAGTCACACCAGCCAGGGCAATTACTATGTATTATTCATCATTGAATCCTCTCAAATCAAATGTTTGCTGAATGAATGGCCCATTCTCCCATTAAATCTCCTACTATCACATTAATAGAACAATGGTATCTTGGCCAGAATAGTAAACCCACCCTCTACCCACACTCCTGGTCCCCACTTACCTGCATAGAAGTGATAGAAGGGCCACCAAACAGCACTGTTCGGGATGTAGGTAAGCAGTGAAGCCACATAGCCTCGGTAGAAGCCTCGAAGCCCATCAGCCCGCAGGATCTGCTTGATGATGTCCTTAGTTTGGCCAAAGGCAACTACCCCTTGTCCCTCTGGGTTCCCTCGCACTTGGAAGCGTCCCATTTTCTCACCCTTACGCTGCATCATCAGATGCTGGGAGACCACATCAATGGGCACTGTGATGCTCTGGGCCACGAGAGAGGCTGAGCCACCGGCCACCAGCGATTTGACTGTGTTGCTCTGGCTATAGTCAGCTACAAACTTCCGGGTGAGCTCATAAGTGGTGACATAGCACTGGCCCGAGATGAGGGTAAAGGTGTTGACCAGGAACCCCCGGTAGAGGCCAGTCACACCGTCTGCTCGCAGGATCTTGATGAAGGCGTCAAACGTCCCATGGTAGAGGCTCTTGCCTTTCTGAACCTGCAACCGAGTGCGGATGAGGGTGAATGGATAGACGCTGACACGGATCATCATTGTCATTGCCACACCAAACACATAGAACTTCTTCTTGTCCAGGTGTTCCCACTCGATGATCTGGATGTTGCGTTTGTCCTCCATTGTGCCTGAAGTCCTGGGGATTTGAACAGGGTGGGGATATGTGAGGAAGGAGGTCAGAACTTCACACTTTACCCTTCTGGCGAGGCTCTGAAACCTCTGTCTCAGGCTTCATCTCCCACGGGTACTCACCTACCTAAAGCTTCGACTTCACCCAGTTTTGTTCTGGGTCTTTCTTCACAGCTCAGGAGACTGCCCCCTTCTCTCTCCTTTTTCAGTCCTCCCCAATTCCGGGAACCCTGGCTTCACTCCCACCTCGGCTCCCTACCCTCAGCTCATCGTCTATTCTCGTCTTTCTGCCTCTGTCATAGCCCATCCTCCTCCTCCTTCTCTGGCTCACCCAGGCAGAGTTCAGGATGCTGTGGACAAACCAACCACCTGGCAGGATGCAAGTCCTTTGAGCGGGCTAATGAGATGTCACTAAGTGACATTTAGGAGGTTCCTAAAGGCTGGAAGGAAGAGCTCCAATTTTGATGCTCTGGGCTCACTATGGAGGCACTGCCTTTGGCCTTGCACGCTCAGCAGGGTGCCTCGTTTATCACCATTTACCAGCGGACTCACCGGACTTTACTTCTGGTTTCCATGCTGGCCCCTCTGAGCTCTCCTCGCCCACACTCACTACACTTATATTTTCTTCAGTCTGCATTAGAAGAAAGTGTGGGGAGGAAGCTAAGCAGGGCTTTCATACCACAGGACACCCCCATACACACATCTCCCCCCCTCCAATGAGGGTAGAATGTTAGGAACAAGGCAAAGGTCAGAGTCCTCTCTGGTTATTAGGTAACTCATTCTAGAGAAAGAAAAGAACCACCTGAAGAGTCTTGAGAACTACAGGGTGAAGAACATGTTTGGCCCCTTTCATCCCTAAGCATATAAATCATAACCTCAGTTCCAGATAATGAAGGGAGATTCAAATAACACAGTATAGACTCAACCTTCAAGAAACTCACAGTCTGTTCAAAGAGCCTGAGACAGAGATGGAGACGCCTAGTTTGTCTCCCGGGGCCCTGTTGCTCTCCACAGGGTGCCGACCCGGAAGGAGGTGGGCAGCAGGGAAGGCCGGGGCTGCAACGAGGAAGCAATGGGTCTTGGGTGAGGAACATTATATTGAGGGCCTTCAGACAGTCATCCAGAGAGACTTCTTTCTTGATGTGGAAAAGCTGCAGGCACAGAAGGAATACCTGGAGGCTGAGGAGGATGGAGACCTGGAATGGATGCACCAGATTGCCATCAAGTTTGGCTCTGCTCTGGGCAAGATGTCCCAAGAGCTCTCGTCACCCTATGTGCCTCCAGCTTCATTTGAAACCCCTGAGGTGCACACAGGCACCGGAGTGGTGAGCCACAACCCCAGGGCCAGGGCCGGGGCCTGGAGGACGGCGAGGGAGGCTGGAGAGGAGGAGGAGGAGGGGCCCCTGCCCAGCCTCGATGTCTTCCTGAGCTGGCACACAGGGCGGACAACGCCCCCTTCCAGGAGATCGCGGAGGTGGCCAAGAAGAGCCGGGCATGCCATGCCAGCTCTACCAGGCCAAGGGGGAGTTTGAGAAGAGGCAGAAAGATAATCTCACACTCCCATTGGCAGAGCACCAAGCTATTGAGAGCAGCCAGGCTGGTGTGGAGACCTGGAAACAGAGGGCCAAGAACTCCCTCATGTACGACCCAGAGGGCATCCCTGACAAGAAGCAACTGTTTAAGAAGCCCAGGCAGGTGGTGCATAAGAATACTCACTTCCTCAGAGACCCCTTCAGCCAGGCCTTACACAGGTCTCAGCTGCAGCAGGCCTCTGCCCTCAATGCCCAGCACAAACAGGGCAAGGTGGGCCTCGATGGCAAGAAGCTGATTCCCCAGGAATCCCCTGGCGTCCGTGGATTTGGATTTGTTGCCACCCCTTCTCCTGCCCCCTGGTGTGAACAGAGTCCCTGCTGATGACCTGCGGGGAGGTTGAGAACACACCCTTGAGAGTTGAGGGAGCGGAAACCCCTACGTGGATTGGACACCAGCACAAGCCTTCAAGATCTTGGGGCCAGGCCACAGGGAGTGGCTGAGACCAAGGATGGCTAATGAGGCCGCTGCCAAGAATTGGGCCAAGAAGCAGGAGGCCTTGCGGAGAGTAACAGAGAACCTGGCCCGCCTCGCCCCCACAGGCCTGAGCCCAGCCATGTCCCCAGCCCTACAGTGCCTTGTGAGCAGGAGAGGCAGCAAGCACACAGACCGGGCCCTGCAGGTCAGCTACACGGCTTCCCCAACATGCTCAACACACCTCAAGACCCCAGCCGGTGGGCCCCAGGCCCCGACAAGCACACCAGCTCCTGGCTCCGCCACACACACCCTCCTCAGCCAGGACCCGGCCTCGTTCACAGACAACCTGTTGCAGCTCCCTGCCCGGTGCAACTTCTAGGGCCAGGCCTGGGCGGGGCTCATGGGATTTTTGTGGAGCCTGCAGAACAGCTATCCACCCAGCAGAGGACTCCAGCCTTCTGGGGACCCAGGCCCAGGCCAAAAGCAGTGTCCTAGGAGCCACAGAAGAAAAGTGCCAAGTCACAGCCAGGCTGGCACAGGACCCACCCCATGGCTCTTGTTGGGCATCCCAAGGCTTTGGTAGTATATTTTTCTGTGGAACCTGTGCCCATTTTTGTTTAACCAGAATTAAAGAACACCTAGTACAATTAAAAAAAAAAAAAGAAAGAAACTCAGTCTGTTCAAAGAGACACAGTATGTCTCTGGGGAATGGGTGTCAGATATAAAGAGTCCAGGGCAAATTAATGTACATGTGACCCTCATGTTAAGTGTATCCATTGCCTAAAGTCTGAAACAAAACTAAAGAGTTTACTAATGTAATAAATGCATAAAATCAGGACCTTCCAACTGAAGAACTGTCAAATCAGAGGACCTCATATATTGGACATATTCTTAGTAACAATGTAATGTGCTCCTGTGTGGGACACTGGGCATTTTCAGCCAGAAAGGGAAAGTGGGAAGTTCAATTCCAGGAAGTGAGAAGTCTGGGGCTCCCCAGGATTTGAGAGAAATCCGTAAGGGCTGGGAAAGGAGGTGGCCACATCAAAGGGACAGCTCCAGAGGACTGCGATGTTCTATACAAGCAGTCCCAGTGCCCATGCCTTGGCAAACCTCATGTCAGTGTTTAACCAGAGTCCACCTTCAACCACTTTCCCCAGGCAAAGGTCTAAACTAGACTAAGGAGTTTCTTGATTTACCATGGAAGTCAATGGGGGAGCAAGGTTAGCGCTTCGGTATTCCCTCAGCTGGACTGTATCACTTTGATTAGAATACAGAATACCTGCAGTGCCCACTCGGTAAATGGGAACTGAGGGAAAACCTCACCTTCAAGATGAGTCATAGGTGAGGTACATGCAACTAAGACAGGCTTCCTGGAGGAGGACGAAGTAGTTTGAATAAAGGAGGAATACATGTAGACAGTGAAAGGGAAAGGATCGCTTGAAACAACTGGGTTGGCTAGAATGGAGAATCTGGGCTGTAAAAGGTAAGCTAGAGGTGGGGTTCTAGGAGGAGAACTCATAAAAAGTTGATGTGTCGTGTGCTGTGGGCAGACGCGGTCCTTCCTCTTCACCAAGCCCAGAGGAACAATCTTCTCTTTTGAGGCCCTTAAAGAGAAGGTGGTCACTGTCTCACTTGCCCCAGGATGTGTGTCATCCAGGGTCCCAGGGTCATGTTTCCATTACTGCTGAGAGTTGAAGAAAGGCACCTATTACCCCATGCAACCCCTACAACCTAACCTGGGCACAGTCCGACACTTCTGCTAAATGAGTAACTAAAGGGTCAGATATATTAAAAGGAACAGGTCCTAGGTCACACAGCTGGTTAGTGGTAGAGGCAGGATATGAGCCAAGATTTCTTCTCCACTCCATCATGCCTTCTACCCCCCTGGAAGTTGAGCTCCAATACAAATCACTCTGTTTGGTCTAAAGCCATGTCCTTCTCACCACAGAAGGTAGAATGAATGCTCATGACTGCCACTCGCCCAAGGGTTAAGCACAAGCTCCTGGTCCTGCAGATGCCCAGGGATTTCTCTCAGCTTTGGTCTAGAGAAACCAAGAGCTGCCTCTGCTTTCTCAGTGTGCCTGCGGAGTGACTGAGCTCAGTGGCTAATCACATTGTTGCCACGGGACAAATACAACAAGGCACAAGGAGGAGAGCCTCCCTCCAGGGTTCATGGCAATCGTGTCCTAAGCAGGGCAGAGAGGCAGAGCGACAAAGGATTCTGTCCCAGGACCTGGTTTTGTGGGCACCATCAAGCTGAATCACACAGTGCCAACACCTCCTGGTGAGAAATCCTAAAGCGGGATCCAGTGCCCGCTTTCCTCCATCTCTGACATGTACCAGTCTATTTTAATCTTTTGTTAAATCCTCACCCAAGGGTATGTTTATTAATTTGAGAGAGAGAGAGAGAGAGAGAGAGAGAGAGAGAGATCAATCAGTTGCCTCCTGTACCACCCCAACCACGCATCAAACATGCAACCTTGGTATGTGCCCTGACCGGCAATCGAACCCACAGCCTTCTGGTGTGCAGGATGATACTCCAACCAGCTGAGCTACTGGGTCAGGGCCGTGTCTGTCTATTTTAAATTCCCAGAAGGAAATGGGGGCTCTCCAAAGATGAAGCAGGTAACTTCTACTATTGCTATGGTGACAGAAGAAGCCACTGAGAGTCATGTCTCCGACAGATAAGCCTCTACATTTGAAGAAAGACAGGGGCATTGCATGCCCCCAGTCTTCCCTTCAAAAAGTGGGACTGCTCCTAATAGGTAGAATCGCAACCTGCTCTTGATTGTATAAACTCCAAACTTCCTGCTGAAATATTAAAACTAGTTCTTGTTTTAGCCTTTAGAAAATACTCCTGCATGCAAACTACCTTCAGCTTCCCTTCTCCCAACTCAGTCAGTCCAACTTCATTATGGTTCTTCCCAGACTCTTATTTGTATATGTAACTCCAATTCTAAATTTCCCCCACCTTTTAACACTGCTCAGATACAAAGGCTGAAGTGTTTCCTATGGAGGCCCAACAGATGACCCAAGGTATTCTGAAGTTATCAAATAAGATGTCAGAGGCAGAAGCCCCAGTACCAAGCCCACCAGTGGAAAGGGAGAAACTGGCGGGCTCAGTACACCTCTCCACTTCTACTTTCCTTGTACCAGAAAAATCACACTAAACTATTCACTAGGTTCTGAGGTAAGATTCTGGTTCAGGGAGAGGCAGGGTTACCCAGAAGGCAAGGCCTTCTGGTCATGCACCACTTAACAAAAGGGATACATTCTGAGAAATGTATCATTAGGCGATTTTGTTGTTGTTCAAACATCACAGAGTTCAATTACACAAACCTAGATTGTATAACCTACTATACTCCTAGGCTGTATGGTATAGCCTCTTCCTCCTAGGCTACAAACATTTACAGCATTATAATTGTACTGAATAGAGTAGGCAATTGTAACACAATGATAAGTATTTGTGTATCTAAAGAAAAGGCACAGTCTAAATGTAGTATAAAAGATTAAAAAATGGCCCCGACTGGTGTGGCTCAGTGGATTGAACACAGGCCTGCAAAATGAAAGGTTGCTGGTTCAATTCCCAGTCGGGGCACATGCCTGTGTTGCAGTCCGGGTCCCCGGTTGGCGGGCTTGTGAGAGGCGACCAATTGATGTATCTCTCATACATTGATGTTTATCTCCCTCTTTCTCCCTCCCTTCCCCTGTCTCTAAAAGTAAACAAATACAATCTTTAAAAAAAAAAAACAAAAAACACTATAAGATGATACACCTGTATAGGACACTTACCATGAATGCAGCTTGCAGGACTGGAAGTTGCTCTGGGTGAGTCAGTGAGTGAGTGGTGAGTAAATGTGAAGACCTAGGACATTACTGAATACTACTGTAGACTTTATAAACACTGTACACTTAGGCTACACTACATTTATAAAACAACATGATATTAAATCAAGCACAAGAGAAAATGATTCAATCAAGAGACTTAATAACTATGAGATGGGTGAGGCTGCTGTCCATATAACACGGCATACTCTTTACAGCAAATTTTTTTATAAGTAGGAAGAGTACACTCTTAAAGAATGTTTAGCCCTGGCCACTGTGGCTCAGTTAGTTAGTTGGGCATCATCCCACAGAGCAAAGGGTCACCAGTTCCATTCCCAGTACGGGCACATGCCTGGGTTGTGGGTTTGGTTCCTGGTCAGGGCACCTATGAGAGGCAGCCAATTGATGTTTCTCTCTCGCATCAATGTTTCTCTCCCTCTTTTTCTTCCTCCCTTCCCCTCTCTCTAAAAATAAATAAATAAATAAATAAATATAATAAAAATTTTTTAAATGTTTAAAAGTATAGTATAGTAAATATGTAAACCAGGAACACAGTAATAGCAACAATTATCACTATCAAGTATTATGTCTTGTACATAATTGTATGTGCTGTACTTTTATACAGCTGGCAGTGCAGGTTTTTTACACCAGCATCACCACAAGCACATGAGTAATGCGTTGCATTATGACATTAAACTATGGTAACTACAAAATCACTAAATGATAGAAATTTTTCAGCTCCATTATAATCATATGGGACCACCATCACATAAGCAGTCTGTCACTGACTGAAATGTCATCATTTGATGCATGACTATAGAACAGTGTGGTGTGGTGCAACTCATGTGAGCCAATATGCGTGAAAGCATTTTGTTAACAGCAAAGCACTTCTATCATTGCAGAAAGCTCTGTTGGACAGTGCTGCTCTACATCCTTACAGACCAGCAGCATGGACATCACCTGGGCGCTTGTGAGAAATACAGAATTTCTGAAGGCACCCTAGATATGCATTTTTACAGCCCACATTTTAACAAGATCTATAGTGATTAATATATGTGTCATAGTTTGAGAGGCATTACTGTAAATATTAAGGATTGTCAGTAGTATAACAATGATAACAACTACTCTAAAAGCCCAGGACCATTATGGGTAGGTTAGGAGTCCTGATTCCATCCTGACTTGTCACCAGAACTTGGCCAATAATGTCTACTAGGCTCATTCAGATCCTTTCAGTCAACCATCCCCACCAAATTAAATCACCTTCTATAACTCCTGAGAAAGACACCGGTGGAGTCTGATCCCCTCTTCTCAGCTGGAAACAAGATCTTTGCTTTCTCCTTCTATTCCTCTGTTCTCCCTACTGCACCTGCATCAATGCTCTGCATCCCAGTAGCTGTCCATATGAATGTCAGTATCTTTACATGCTTGCTCGTCTGTATTAATAAATGCATTTCCTTAGAGGAGCTCCTTGGTGATATCTCTGACCCCTCCCTCCAGAAAAGTCTCCCTTGGATCACGTGAGATTCCCACCAAGCCTTCCTTGGGTCTTCAATAGGTACCCATGTGATCCCTCATCACAGACACCACGTGACAATCCTCTCCACCTACTGTACATGATCCCCCCTTTATATACTTCTGTCCTGGCTCCCACGGAACTGCAGTCGGGCACTGCAGACAGACACCCGTTGCCTCCTTGACAGGTCCAGGTCCTCGGAGATCTTAGCTTTTAGTCACCCTGAACCGATGGCTTCTCACCTTCTCAGATCAGGGCGGTCCCGCCGCGTCTGAGGCGAACTCCAAGCCTGGACCGCTAGTCCGAAGCTCCCACTGTGTCCGCGGTCTCCGGCGACTGCCAGCTTCGGAGTACATTACCCCCCATGTTGACCCGGCTCCCGGTACTACAGGAACCGGAAACTGGGACGCTGTCATTCCCGCCCCCTCCGGGGGACGTAGATGAACAGTGGGAAACTCCACCAATGGGGTTTTGAGCCCGGGGCGAGGGCGGACCGTCCTGGTGGCCATCTTGAATGTGGTCAGAAGCCACGCCTGTATTGGCTTCTCCATGCCCTCAGCTCTACGGCCCAAGCGTACTTTTCAATTAGCGAAGTCGCATAATCCGGTACTTCTTGAAGATCCAGGTCTAAATGTGTCACCTGGTGTTTGTGGTCTATTGGAATTCTTAAATCAAAATCTAATCTTTAATTTTTGTGTAATTTTTGTCACCTATGGAGCCAAAACAGTAGAGGCCAATGTGCAGCAGGTAGGACTAAGGGTAGACAACCAGTTTTAGAAGCTTGGGAACACAGAAAATTGAAGAAATAGGGGACATCCTGGCCTTGGTGTAAATGACATTAAGGATCTCTTCAACTCTGAAACTATTCACCTATGCATGGATTTAAGCAAGAGGAATACCTCTCTAAGTGAGGGACTGGGGGTCTGGGAGGACTGGAGTGGAGGGTCAATTCATTTCAAAATACACAGATAATTGTTTATAACTCAAGCAAAAAAGACAACCCAATTTTAAAAATGGGCATCCCTGACTGGTGTGGCTCAGAGGGTTGGATGTCATTCCATAAACGGAAAGTCACCATTTTGATTCCTGGTCAGAGCACAAGGCTGGGTTGCTATGGTCCAGGTCCTGGTTGGGGGCGTGCAGGAGACAACGGAAGGACGTTTCTCTCTCACACTGTTTCCCTCTTCTCTTTCTTCCTTTCATCCCCTCTCTCTAAAAATAAATAAATAAAATCTTTTTAAAAAATTGGGCAAAGTTCTTGAATAGATACTTCTCCAAAGAAAATATACAAATGGCCAACAATCACAAGAAAGGGTGATTGATACCATTAGTCATTAGGGAAATACCAGTCAAAATCATAATGAAATCCCACTTCACACCCACTGGGATGGCTATAATTAAAACAAACAAAAACCCAGAAAAAAACACGTATTAGCAAGGATATGGAGAAATTGGAACCCTCAGACATTGCTGTGGAAAACAGTTCTGTGTTTCCTCAATAACTTAAACCAAATTGCCATATGACCAAGCAATTTAACTCTGGATATATACCCTAAAAAATTGAAAACAACTGTTCAAACAAAAACTTGTACAGGAATGTTCATAGCACTATTCACAGTAGCAAAGAAGTAGAAACAAGCTGGTATATTCATACAGTGCAATATTATTTGCTACTAAAAAAGTAATGAAGTATCAATACATACTACAACATAGATGAATCTTGAAGCCATCATGTTAAGTGAAATAATCCAGACACAGAAGTCACATACTGTATAATTACATTTATATGGAATATGCAGAATAGATAAATCTACACAGACATAAAGCAGGCTGGTGGCTGCCATGGGTCAGGGGAAGAAAACATGGGGAATGATTGCTTAATTTGCACAGAGTTTCTTTTTGGGATGATAAAAATGTTCTGGAAATAGAGAATGGTGATTGTACATTATAAATGACTAAATGTCACTAATAATACTGCTATATGTATTCTACTACAATAAAAAATTGATATATCTAGGATAGATCCCTCCTGAACTCTAGATTTGTGTTGACGGCTGCCTCAAAATATCTAATGGAGATTTCAAACTTAGTGTGATGGTTAGTTTTATGTCCATTTGGCTAGGCCACAGTACCTAGCTATTTAATCAAGCACTATTACTGTTGCTGTGACGTATTTTGCAGCTGTGGTCAGCATCTACAATCAGTTCACTTTAAATAATAGAGATTACCTTGATAATGCAGATGAGCCTTATCTAATTAGTTGAAAGAACTTTAGGACAAAACTAAGTTTCCTTTTTCTTCAAATTTATTTTTAGAGAGAGGGGAAGGGAGCGAGAATGAGAGGGAGAGAAACATTAATGGGTGGTAGCCTCTCGTATGCCCCCTACAAGGGACCTGGCCCGTAACCCAGGCATTGCCTTGACTTGGAATCAAACCAGCGAACCTTTTGTTCACAGGCTGGCACTCAATCCACTGATCCGCACCAGCCAGGGCATAAAACTAACCTTTCTATGAGGAGGAAATTCTACATCAAGATTTCAGCATCAAAGCTACATCCTGGAAGAGGCTGAGGAAAACTGTTCCTCCTGCCAACAGTCAAGCAGGCTGATCCAGAGGCAGTGGCAGCAGCAGTGACCTCATCAGAAGACCCCAGGGACTAGAGAGCCTGTTCCAAAAGCATGGACCTTGAGACAGATCTGGACACCTGTTCCCGTGGGAAGCTGGCCCACCATCAGAAGGCCATCTCCACAGCTCACCTAACTTTCGTTATCGACTGTGCTCGTGGGAAACAGCTCTCCTTGGCAGCGTCCCAAGTGCCTCCCCAAACCCCCGGTCCCAACCTAAGACCTGTCACTGCTCTGATAAATTCCTATATCTTGTTCTGTGGGAATAGCCAACCCCATCTGACCCATAAGGCCCTGGGGCGGGAGGTGCCTTGCCCAGGGCCAGGGGCAACCTGCAGAGGGACTGTGGCCCCAGCTTCCTCCCCAGCCAGCCCACTCTGCCCACAGAATGGTCCTGAAGCCAAGGGGAGCCTTTTAAAGATGGTACCCACAAGGTCTTGGGCTTGGGGAACAATCATAGGCCTGACCGTGAGAGCAGGGGTTGGCATGCCAGACTCACGTATCCAGAGGCTGCAATTCCCAGAGCTTACTGCCTCTTTGCCAGGGGCTGCAAATTGCCAGGGAGAACACCACAGCTTTTGTGGAGTTTATATACTTGGAGTTGGAGGGATGGGTGGGGGGAAAGGAGGGAAGCAAGTTAAATAACTAAAGATGATTTGGAACAGTGACAAAATGAACACTGTGTAGAAACTGAGACAGGGTGCAGGGATGGAAAGTGATTAAAGTGTGATCTAAAGACTGAGAGAGCCAGCACTGTGAATCACTCTCCCAGGGCCATTATCCCAGAGTGGGGTCAAGGTGCCCCAGAATGACAGGTAGGGACAGCACATTGGCTGCTGTCATCTTGGCTCACATACAGGTGTAGGCGATGGAAGGGCATGAGACACAGAACAGGGAAATTCAACCACCTAGGCGGGACCTGGCAATAGGAGAGTAAGTAAAGGGAACAAATTGCCCTAGTTGGTGTGGTTCGGTGGATTGAGTGCTGGCCTGACAACCGAAGGGTCGCTGGTTCAATTCCTTCAGGGCATGTGCCTGGGTTGCAGGCCAGGTGCCCAGTGGGGGTCATGTGAGAGACAACCAATTGATGTATCTCTCTCATACAGGTGTTCCTCTCTTTCTCCTTTTCCTTCTTTCTAAAAATAAATAAATAAAATATTTTAAAAAATATGTGTCCAGAGCTTGACCACTTCCCACCACCTCCTACCGCCACCCTGGTCTCGGCCGCCATTCTCTCTCACCTGGATTATTGCAGTAGCTTCCTCACTGGTTTCTTTGCTTCAGCCTTGCTTCTGCTATTTCTTAATCACAACAAAGCAGCCAGAGTGATACTTTTAAACTGTAAGTCAGATCACTTCCCTCTTCTGTTTAAAATCCTCCAATGGCTGGCTCTCCATATATGCAGCGCGAAAGCCAAAGTCTTTCCAAGGGCCGACAGCCTGCCCCACACACTCCCGTCAGCTTTCCCACTTCATCTACCGCTCTCACTCCTGCCTCAGGGCCTCTGAATTGGCAGCTGCTCATTTCTGGAGGCTCTTCTTGCAGGCAGGCACATAGCTCATATTTTCATTTATTTTATTGTTTCATTATTCAATCCATTGTTCAAACCTCACTTTGTCAGTGAGACCTATTCTAAATCCCCTGTTTTAAACTGAGGGGACCCCTCCCACTCTCAATCGTCCTTCTCCAGCTCGATTTTTTTCTCTGTATGACATCACCTTCTAATGTACCCTGCCTATTTCACTTATTTCAATATATAATCTGTCTGCCACACTAGAATGTGTGCTCATGACAGCAAGAATTGTGTCTTTTTTGTTCATTGATAAGCCCTCAGCACCTAACAGTGCCTGTCACATAGTAGATGCTCAGTTAATATCTGTTGAGTAAATGAATGGATTTCAGCATTGAGAGAGTGCCTATCATGTGCTAGGCACACGAAAACACAACAAAGCAGCAACACTGTATAACAAGAGTTATACTGAGGTGTGCATAGGGTACCAACCCTGATTGGGAGATTAGAGAAGAATCCCCAGAGGATGATGGTGTAGATGGAAGAAATAGCAAGCCCTAAGGAAACTCATTGTCGGTTCCTTTGGGCAGAATGTCTATTCATCTCTGTGTAACCAAGGCCTGGTAATGCTGGACACTCAATAAAGGTTTCTAGCACATTGTAGAGAGGGGCTCAGGAACCGCAAGTATTGCCAAGGTATGTATGGAGGAGCTGGAGGTAAGGCATGCTATCCCAAAGCGTTTTACTTTTTTACTCTGAATTTAATGAGAAGCCATTTGGAGTTTTAGGCCAACTTTTTTTTCTTAGTAAGCTCCCCTTGACCCTGACCAGAGAATAGTGCATGAATGGGAGTGGGAAAAGGTGGGGTTTGGCTCTGGTTGTCTTAGTGAGGCGGCCTGGGCCTGATGGGACTGGAGAGATGCTCAGAAATGTCAGGGAGAGGGAGGAGGAGGAGGAGATGGGACTGGTGGCCCACTAGGTATGAAGGGAGTGAGAGAAGAAATGCGGGATGAGTCCCAAGCTGCTTCGTTGCAGTGTGATTAACTAGCATGGGGAGCTTGGAGGAGGAGCAGGTTTGGAGGGGATGAGGAATTCTGTTTGGGACTGCATTAGACAAGCCTATGCAGGATCCAGGTGGAGAAAACCAGTGGCTACAGGGGAAGCAAGAAACCTGAGCTAGCAAGACACTGCCCCACAATACCTTTTCACTGCCCCGCCCAGCCCTGACTGCTGCCATCCTGTCCGACTGCTGGATTGTAAGCCCTGTGCTGGCAGGAAGTAGGTCTTATTCAGGTGTCTCCCCAGCCAGATTCTAAACCATAGCAGGTACTGAGTGCATATTTGCTGATGAATGAGTGAATGAATGGATGGATGGGCATCCTTAATTAACAGGTGAAAGTGGAAGCAATAGGCACGGAAGACATTGTTCAAGGGTACTTTATTTATTTATTTATTTACTTACTTATTTATTTTTATTATGATCTTTACTTTTTTTATTGTGGTTCAATTACAGTTGTCTCCCTTTTTCCCCCATTACTCTCCCCTGCCCTGCCCACCCCCTCTCCCACACTCAATCTTCCCCCCATCCCTGCTGTTGTCTCCAAGGAGACTTTTAAAGGGAGATAATAGAAGAGGAGCCCTTGGGTCTTTTTTTTTTTTTTTTTTAAGAAAAAATCTGGCTGGTGTGGCTCAGTTGGTCGGGTGTTGTTCTGCAAACAAAGGGTTGCTGGTTCAATTCCTGGTCAGGGGACATGCCTGGGTTGTGGATTCAGTCCCTGGCTGGGGCACATATGAGAGGCAACCAATCGATGTTTTTCTCCCTCTCTCTCCCCCCTACTTCCCCTCTCTCTAAAAATAAGTAAATAAACTCTTTAAAAAAAAGAAGAGGAGCCCTTGGAAGAAATGATCAGTGATCAGCAAGGTAGGAAGATAGCAAGAGCACTGCAACCAGAGACCAAATGAAAAGAGTGACCAGTAAGAATTGTTACCAATTTTAAAGCCTGCAGAGAGGTCACATGAGACTGACCAAAGTTTTACTCTCATAAAAGATAAGCACTTCCTAAGGCCTCCTTTCGCTGTAGCATAGTGCCTCGCAGAAAGGCTGTGGAGCCTGTCCCCAGACTGCTAACAGTCCAGCAGGGGGTCTCTCCTCACCATTCTGTGTCTTACATTCAAATGGTTGGGCCTAAGGACCTCATGAGCCATACAGACAATGAGTGCTGGGGAAATGAAATGTTAGGGAAGAATAATCAGCCAGGGCTGGGGCCGGCAGGGAAGACGGCACAAAGGAGAGAGTCTCTAAATCGTGCCTGAGAGAGAAATGAGGAGAGAGTACATTCCAGAGTGACGTTGGGGAAAGGCAGAGAAGGGGAAGGGTTCTGCACAGGGCAGCGAGGGTTCCACAAAGATTAAATCAGGAAGCGCTCCCTTCCCTGGCCAGCCTGCTCAGTTTGTTGGGCATCACCCTGCAAACCAAAAGGTCACTGGTTCAGTTACCAGTCAGGGCACACGCCTGGGTTGAGGGACCTGTGCCCTGTTCCTGTTGGGGCACTTGCAGAGGCAGAAAACAACCAATCGATGTTTCTCCTTCACATTGATGTTTCTCTCCTCTTTCTCTCTCTCTTCCCCTCTCTCTAAAACAAAGTTAAAAAAAATTTTTTTAAAGATTTTATTTATTCATTTTTAGAGAGAGGGGAAGGGAGAGAGAAAGAGAAGGAAAGAAACATCAATGTGTGGTTGCTTCTTGCATGTCCCCCACTGGGGACCTGACCTGCAACCCAGCATGTGCCCTGAGTAGGAATTGAACAGGCACTCAATCCATTGAGCGACACCAGCCAGGGCATTAATTTTTTTTTTTTTTAAGCCTCCTGTGCATTCCTTCCTTCTGAGAGGTGAAGAAGTTGAGGTATAGGCTGGGAAAGCTGGCTGAGTCTCCAGTAGATGAAGCACCCAGGAGCCCAATGCTGACCCAGGGTCCTTTCCATTGTCCCACACCGCCCCACTGCCCGTGGCTTCGAGGTCAGCAGGGGAGCCACTGGAGAGGAAGTCTGGAAAGGGTGCTTGGAAAGTGAAGGCCAGGCCTCAGGGTAAAAGCTAGCAGGAGTGAAAGAAAGAACTAGAGAAGCTGAATAACTCCAATAAAGGAGCCACGGCAGGCAGGGTGTGGGAGAGAGACCTGCGCACCCACGTTCACTGCAGCGCAATCACAACAGCAAAGACATGAAACAACCCAAATGCCCATCAGCAGATGCGTGGATTTTAAAAGTTGTGGTATATACATACAACGAAAACCTCAAATCCAGCCTCAAAAGGAAACAAAATCCTGTCAAATGCTACAACAATAAACCCTGAGGACACTGTGGTGAGTGAAATAAGCCAGTCACAGAAGCACAAATACTGTGTGATTCCACTTATATGAAGTACCTAAAGTAGTCAAACCATAGACAGAGAGTAGAAGGTTGGTTGTTAGGGGCTGGGAGGAAGGAGAATGGGGAGTTGTTGTTCAATAGACATAGACTTTCAGTTCTGCAAGATGGAAAAGTTCTAGAGACTCATTACACAACAAGGTGAATATAGTTAACATTACTGAACTGTACAGTTAAAATGGTTAAAAGGATAAATTTTGTAGGATGTGCTTTTTAGCATGATTAAAAATTTTTTTTAAAAAAAGAAAGAACCATAGTAGAAGAGAGTTGTGAGGAGATTCGGGTGGCCAAGGTATGAAGACTGCATAGAAGTCAAGGTCAGTTAGAAGTCTGGGTAATTGTGGAGGGTCATCCGAGCAGAGAGGTGGGGAAGTCAGGTCACAGGGATTAAAGAGGGTGAGCGTGACGCTGGGGCTGGGGTGGGATGACGCAGGGTAGGCAGCCAGCACAGACCCTCTCTGGTGCTTGGTAGTAACAGAAAAGAGAGGGCAGGTAGGGGTGGAGGACAGATTCAAAGATTAGAGTTGGGGAAGGTTATTGTTTTGTTTTTTTCCTGCAGAGAACACCTAGCACACCTGCGTGTCGGAGAGGGGAGACTGAGCTGAGGGAGTGGTAAAGTGAGGGGGCAATGCTGGGGGTCTCTGCAGAGAGAAGGGGCAAAGGCACCGGGTAGCTTTGCTTGGGAGAGGGACATGTGCCTTTGTGGAAGGGGGGTGAGGGAAGGTGGTGTGGGGGTGTGGAGAGAACACCGTTTGTCAGATGTTGGAAGGATGTAGCCAGAATGGGGGCTGTTGCATCGTCTTTCTTTTCTTTTTTTATTTTATTTATTTATTTTTAGAGATGGGAAGAGAGGAAGAGAGGGAGAGAAACATCAATGTGTGGTTGCCTCTCCTGCGCCCACTAGTGGGGACCTGGCCCGAAACCCAGGTATGTACTCTGGACTGGGAATCGAACCGGTGACCTTTTGGTTCACAGGCCCGGTGCTCAATCCACTGGGCCACACCAGCCAGGGGTCTTTCTATGAATTCAATCTACCAAGAGTTGAAACAAACTGCTGCAGAGGGGAAGGAGGGCTGAGTCGGAATCACAAGAAATGTGGGAGAGCTGGGGACAGCAACTGCAGGGCTGCAGCAGGGACATCTGCCAAATCATGGCCCAGAGATGGGTATGGTGTTGCCTGGCCAGCAGACACAAGCTGAAGCTGGTCAACACTGAGTGTTGGCCTGAAAGGCAGTCTGAGAAACTCTAGCAACTGCTGGAGTGGAGGCAAGGGCCGTCGGGCTGGTTCCAGGTGGAGCTGGCAGGGAGGAAGAGTTCTAGGGAGCAACCATCTCACAAACTTGGCCCTCCTCCCACTGACGTCCCAGTCCTCTGCAAGAGAACTCTGCTCTGACAAATACAGCACCAGTCATAAGCTTTGTCTTTTTAATAAAAAATAAACCGTCTGTAACAAGCAGTTTTCCGAATCCCAAAGCAAAAGGGGAGAGGGCAGAGGTCAAAGGGTCCGCCAAGGTAAAGGCATGAACAAGGCTCAGATTACCCCTGCCATTCCAGTCAGGCCAGAAAGGATCACGACCTCCACCAACTGAAGCAAGAAGGAAGGTGGTCAGACTTCAGGAAAGACTTCCCGGGAGTCAGTGGTGCACAGTTGATAAAGGGAGCAGGAGAGGACAGCTCCCTGCAGAGCCCTAAAGATCCCTGGGAGGCAGGAGTATTGGTGTCTAAGGTGGTAGCTGCTATCAGAGTGGAGTCTCCAGGAGTAGCATGCTATCTTATGCTATGGTTGTTTGGTGTTTATTACCATAGGGTCCTGAACAGTCAGAGTTTCAGGGTCTCCTGGAGCAGTATGTTTCTGAGGTCCTAGAACGGCCAGAACTGAAGGATTCTCCCTCGGTCCTATCATAGCCTTGGTCCAGGTCTGGGGCAGCTCCCATTTGAGAGCCCATGTGCTTGGTAGAAGGGAATCCTTGGGATGGCAGTCAGACGCTGTGCCCAGGCCTGCTGAGTGCCAGTGGTGTTACAGAGTGGCAGTGAAGCTACTGTCACGGGAGGAAGGTGGTCTTTTGTGCTACTCCCGCACTGGTGAGGTCTGCACTGCTCCAGGCTGCCCGGTCAGCACGGCCAGGTGCCGTGTCCTTGCCCGTAGGCCCAGTCTGTGCCCAGAGTTTAAGCCACCTCAGTTCCCAGGTGGTTGTTGTCGGCATCCACATCGTTGGCAGAGGTCCTGCGTTCCTTGGGAAGTTGGAGGTGCTGCTCCCTGCTCAATGGGGCCTTCTCTCCGGGGGTCTTGGTCTCACAGCCCTGGACCTTGCCCCGGGCTCGGAGCGCCCCCAGTGGGGAGGCAAGGAGGGTGATGAGGGCTCCGGAAAGCACTAAGGCAAGCAGTACGGTGACGGTGAGGAAGTGGGGCCAGTAGGACCGCTGGGGAGCCATGGCAGCGCCCCCACCAATCCTGGTCAGCGGGGCCTCCACGCGCTCTCGGGGGATGCCTGCCAGTGCAGGGTCCGGGGCCAGCGGCTGGTCCTGGTTGTCCACCCAGTACGAGACCACAGGGTATGAGAAGCCGTTCTCAGTGGCCCAGCACTGGTAGAGACCCCCCGCCCCATCCCGCAGTAGCAGCAAGAGGGAGCCATTGTAGACCATGGAAGAGGCTTTGGGGACTGGTGCTGCCCCATGACTCCAGCGGTAAGAGGCCCGGGCTGAGAGGCGGGGGCAGGGGAGCTCCAGGATGGAGTTGGGGACAGCCAGGACTTCTTTAACTGTAGGTGAAGAAAAATGGGAAAAATGTTAAAGGACGTCAGGGAGAAGGAAGGCAGGAGACTGTCTCTATCCTACATTTAGACTCCCAATGGACAACTCCAATCTCCATTTCAACTCTCAGACTCAACTCTGACCCCTTCCCTATCTCCAACCTGGACCCCCAACTAACTTCCAGTCCATTTGACTCCAACTCTGACACTGAAACCAACTTTACCCTCAGCTTTACCCTCAATCCTGAGAACTATTCCCTCTCCCTACAGCCAGGACCCAAATCCATCCCACCTCTGGGTGTTCAGGTTTCAAGTCGGGCAGGAGCTGGGGAAAGAAATTGAGGCAATAACGCCTACCCCTGCCCAGAAGTACCCCCCCACCCCAAGCTTTCACACCTCCCTCGGTCCCACACTCACTGATTTGGGGGCGGCTCTGGGGCCGGAGGCTCCGGGCAATGTGGCCACTGGCACACGCCCACTGTGGGTTCCCCCTCTCCAGGTCCTGCCTCCAGGACTTCCTGAGAAGGCAAGGACATAACAAATCATCCCTTCCGACAGACGAAGGTGGGAAGAGCAGGGAGGAAGCAGTGGGGAAGAAGGTGGGCTGGAGGTGGAAGGGCGAGGAGGAGCAATGGGGTCACAGGAGAGGAGGAAAGACCCCGCTGGGGCAGCTTCGGAAGTGCTGGGCGAAACCGCGTACCTGGAGGAGCTCGCCACAGGAATGGGGATGTTGGAAGGAACGTTTCAGTAGCCCCCAGAGAGAGGAATTACCAGAGCGCAAGCCAGGTATACAAGGTCCTGGTGCCATCCAGGACGCACTCACGGGCTGGAGGTGGGCAGGAGGCGGCAGGTTCCAGACTCAGGGTCCCAGGCACAGTGGGGGTCCTGGGCAAGGACACAGTCTACACAGCTCCCATACACACTGCAGTTGGCTCGGGGAATCCTCAGGACACCTCCTGAGAAGCCTGCAAACAGTGCACCCTGGAAGAGAAACGGACAGTGTCAGGGTGGCTCCTGCCACACCTGGCAAGAACCCAGCACCCACGGCCCGCTCCATTATAAGGTCTCTTCTCGCCTGGGTCGGGGCCAGCTGCAGGTTTCGAACAGGCTCAGGGTCGGGGAACAGCTGGATCTCCTCCACCAGGTGAGCTCTGCTGTCCCCTCTCACCACAGCCTTGTGCAGGAAGCCCGTGGCTGTGGAGAGACAAAGAGCGCTGAAGTCGCCTCGCTTCCTCCGCAGACCCCTTCTTTCTCCCTCCCTGACTCCACTTGGCCTCCCAGCTGTCAGAAAGTTCTTTCTGAAGTGTTACATGCAGTGGACCGTTTCCTTCTGTGCCGGGGAGATGGAGTGCTCTTATAAACAGCTCGAAATCGCTGCCCGTCTGTCCTTCCTTTGTACCACCTGATAAAAACTCTGTCCCTGAAGGAACCCAATTGCCGACATTCTCTGGGGACTTGGGGTAGTTGACAGCTGAGTGCTCCTGTGGAAAATCACATAACCAGCCTCCCTCACCTCCATCAAGTGTTTCTACTCAAAGACATTTCAGTGAGTTCTATTTTGACCACCCTTTTAAAAATTTCACCCTGGCTGTGTGGCTCAGTGGACTGAGCACCATCCTGCAAAGGCCGCTGGTTTGGTTCCTGGTCAGGACATATGCTGGGCTGCGGGCGACCATATGCCTGGTCGGGAGCGTGCGAGAGGCAGTAGATAGATGTTTCTCTTCCGCTTTTTCCCTCCCTTACCCTCTCTCTAAGAATAAATAAAATATTAAAAATTTTTTTTCAACTACCCTGACTGGCATTCCTGATTGCCCTTCATGTTCGACTAATTTTCTAATCTCATAACATCTGACATTATTAACTTGATATGTTTATTTTCTATCTCCCTGCCCTCCACAAGGATGAGTTTTGTCTGTTTTGTTCCCTACTGTATACCCCATAAATACACAGCTGATAGGGTGCCAAGTAACAGGTCCTAAAAGAATGAATGCACCTGGTAGGTTTCTTCCGCTAAAGCTCAAAGCTCTCATCAGGCCCTCAGTATGTGTGCTTGGCAATCTTCGACATTCCCCAGTAAGTCTCTCCTCCTTTTCACAATGGCTATTTGAATCCATCCCTCTCTCCTCAAACCTCCCACATTTTCCACCCCTTTTTCCCGGCTCAGGACCTGTGTCCTCCACTTCATGGAGAGCACAAAAGCCATCACACAAGAGCTCCCTCTCCTTCCTGCCTGCCCCCCAGGCTATACCCCTCCCCAGTCTTCCCTCTTCTACTCCTGACTCCCACCCCTGCAGAGGTGCTGGGTCTCCTCCGTTCAGAGCCCGTCTCTCCATCTGTGTCCTGGACTCTGGCTTCTCGCTCCCTCTGCAGCTTCACCTGCCAATTACCCCCTTGCCTGCCCATCTCCCCCATCCCCCTCTCTGTTGGATCCTGACATTTCCCCGTATCTAAAAAGAGAAGACTGGCTGGCCCCCACACGCTCCTCAAGCCGCCCTCCTTCCCCTGTTCCCCAGCACAGCCAGGCCCCCTGAGGAACTGGTCTCTGCGCTTGCCATGCCCCCTCCGCCCCTCTGCTCTCCACCTCTCTAACATGGCTCCCCCTAAGATAAACAGATCTTGCTGAGGCCACCAAAGCCCTTCTGTGTGTCTTCCCAACCAGAATGAAACCTCAGAAAAGGGAGGGACTGGGCCGTTTCTTTTCCCCACTGTATTTTCAGAGCCTAGCAGGGTGCCAGGCACATAGTAGGTACTCAGAAAACATTTGTTGAATATGAATATGCATGAGTGAATGAGCTCAAAGATTCCTCCCCTCTGCTTTTTTTTTCAGGACCTGAGGGAGGTCCTGAAGTCCTTTACTCACTGGTACCCAGGTACATGACCACATGGCTGTTCCCATCGAGGCCCCGGACGGCCTCCACTGCAAGTCGTGTGTACTCCACACCAGACTTCACCAGCAGGGGCGTTCCCACCACCTGCTCATCCATCAGGAAGTGGTCCTTCATGAAGGTCAAGGCTTTATCGGAGGAGGGGCTCACCGAGCACTGAAGGAGGAAGAAGGCAGATCAGGTCAGCTTTCTCCTTCCTGAAAGCTCCCCCATTGCCTCTTCCCTCCCTTCTTCCCCTCTGCTAATCTCCTTTGCCTCTTTCGTTCATGGCAGTGTTCATCTCCAGATGGTGGTTAAAGTTCAGACTCCGGAGCTGCCTGGTTTTGAATTCCAGACTCTGCATGCCTGGGATTTCTTAACAGTAAAATGGGCACATTACCAATACATGATAGGCTTGCTGTGAGGATGAACAGTAAAATACATGAACATTAGAACAGGGACTGGCATAAATTAAGGACTCAATAAACTCTAGCTATTTTGATTTTCCTCCTTCTCCTCGCCTTCATCAAGGATGCCTGGCAGCCAGCAGGAAGCAGGGTGAGGGCCCTTTCAGGCAAGGGCCCTGTTTTACTCATGTCTGTAGCCCAGGCTTAGCACAGGATGTGGCACACAGTCGGGGCCCAATAAATGTCTGTAGCCCAGGTTTAGCACAGGATGTGGCACACAGTCGGGGCCCAATAAATGTAAAATAAATAAATTAAATGAAAGATGTCACATAAAGGAGTGGTGTGGCGGGGAGTGTTTCTCATCAAGGTTTTGCATGAACTTGCTGCCTGTTTCCAGGAGAGTTTCTTCTCCATTCTGGGCTTCCTTTTCTCATCTATCAAATGAGGGGGTTGAACTGGCTGTTCTCTAAAGGCCCTGCCAACACCAGCATGCTCGGGCTCCTGGGACACCCAGGTTACACCCTTCAGTCAGAGTCCTTGTCCTTCAGACCCAAGAGCTCGGTCTTAGGGCCATCCATTCCCCACACTGTCACCTGCAAGCTGTGTCCTCAGACAAGTTACCTCACCTGTATGAGCTTCAATTTCTTCACCAGAAAAGTGAAGTAATAACATCTGTATCTCATTTTGATGCCAGAATATGCATATGCACCTACTGTTGCTTCCTCCCAATAAGATTTTTTTTTTTTAAGGCAAACCTACAGGGATGGGGAGAACAGGAGAGGAAGCAAAAGCCCCACATTTTGGAAGCTGGAAAACAAATGAACAAATAATAAATAAAAAAACTTAGCAGGAAAAAAGTCCTCTTAAGATGGCCCTGAGTTGCCCAAAACTATCTGATTTACAAGAGTTTCTAAAGTTCATGAATTAGTGGCACCAGTCACTTCTGAAAGTGGAGTTAAAAGGGAGCTGAATAAAGAGAATTCTTTGAAAATCTGTTTATCCCTCACTGGTGTGGCTCAGTGGATTGAGCACTAGCCTGAAAACCAATGTCGCCAGTTTGATTCCTAGTCAGGGCACATGCCTGGGTAGTCCAGGCCCCCAGTTGGGGGGGTGCAAAAGGCAACTGACTAATGTTTCTCTTTGCATGTCGTTGTTTCTCTCCCTCTTTTTCTCCCTCCCTTCCCCTATTTCTGAAAAATAACAATTAAAAAGAAAAGGAAAGAAAATCTGCTTAAAATGCAGGCAGATCTCTTCCCAGCCCCATCCGCCTGAGTGACTGTCCCTTCCATGCCCTGGCCCAAGGCTGGAGGTTTATTCCCTGGAAGGAGGACAGCAGGCAGAGCTGGAGCGGGATACCACATGAAAGGGGGAGGTTAGGGTGGGTAGGCGCAGTACAGGCGGAACCTTTCCCCCCACCCAGTCCTCTTCCCCAATGGCTCCCTGACACCAGGAACCAGACCATCTCCCTCCAAGCAGAACACTGAAAGAATCTGCACTGGGGACACCGACTAGAGGTCCCAAAGGAAAGACTTAAAGACACTAACATTGAAAGTCCCCAACAAAACAGCCCAGCTAGACCATCCTCAGTAAAGCTACAATGGAGATCAAGCTGCCAAGTTGTACCCATGGGCACAGAGTTTCCAAACAGCTTCATAGTCCCCTGCTCTTAAATATGCATAGATAGCCAAGGATTACCAGACATGTGAGTAAAACCATGATCATGAAAGAGAACAAAACAAATAGAAAAAATGAACAAACAAAAACCTAACAGGACACAGAAATGATTTGGAGAAAAGACAGCTTTGTACCAAAGTATCATTACTATCTTAAAAAAGATAAAGAGAGTGTACCCATGAAACAAGAACATAATGCTACAAAAAGAGGGGATCTTACTTCAAGAGGACAAGACACTATGTACGTCCTTAAGGAAGAACACGCTACCATGATAATGCGGTCTTCGTGCCCCACTCAAACTTTAATCTGATCAGGTCTCTAGATCCAACCACCAATTCACAGAAAATACTTAAATTCCACCACTGAGACACAAAGTCATCAACATCCAGACTGTGGAAAATTCTACATGATAAATAAATTGCAAGAGAAAAAATAAAGAAATCTAGAAAGGGAACATCTAGATTAAAAGAGACTTAAAAGAACAACTAATCCAAATTTATAGATCTTATTTAAATTTTGACTCAAATAAACTATATTTAAAAATATTCTGCCATGGCTGGTGTGGCTCAGTGGATTGAGCACCAGCCTGCGAACCAAAGCATCGCTGGTTCAATTCCCAGTCAGGGCACACGCCTGGGTTGCAGGTCAGGTCCCCAGTAGGGGGTGTGTGAGAGGGAACCACACACTGATGTGTCTCTCCCTCTTTCTCTCTCCCTTCCCCTCCATCTAAAAATAAATAAATAAACTCTTTTAAAAAAATACTCTTATGACATGTATGAGGTAATTAGAAATTTGAATACTCAACGTATATTATATTAAGGAGTTTAATTTTTTGCAGTGATAATGGTACTATGGGTAGTTTTTAAAGCCCTATATTTTGGAGATACATACTAAAATACTTATGGATGATGTAGTAGGCTGAATGGTGCCCCCTTCACCCCCCAAACAACAACAACAACAAAACCATATCCATCTAAAACCTATGAATGTGATTGTCTGGGTCCAACTCTCAGGTCAACCAGAGGTCACATCTTCTCGATGTCCTCCTCCAACACTGCAATCATTTTTCATGCTTAAGATGACCTGTCTATGGAATTCCTAGATACCATTCATACACTGTGGGAGGCCATGATGGCCAAAGGTGAGTTCAGAGTGAAGGAAACTCCTAGAGGTTTACTGTGTTCCATTCTTTATCTTCACACAACCTCTGCTTCTGCTTCTATTACATCATCAATATTTAGGTATGAAGAAGAGACACTATCAGCTCCTGTAACTACTAGTTACATCTCAGTACATGGTGGTGTTGATGGCCTGAGTTGCCACTGCCTGAGTTATCAAGTTGAAGGGGACTCTTGAGCATGGCAAAAGGCCCTACCTAGGTGGCCTGACCCCTGCTCCTCCCTCCAATCTCACTCACAGTTAGATGGCAGCTGGAAGAATGGAAGCAGACATCTTTGTAGCCACAGTCCACCAAGAAGTCTACCAACATTCTCAATTTGTCCACTTCTTCTTCAGATCTTCCGTCTGTCCCTCATGAGTGCTGTGAAGCTCGCTGAGGCGCCCTAACCTGCAGCTCCCCTGTCAGCTCACTCTAGTAAATGGGTATCACAGAATACTTGCAGGTGGTCTCTGGCATGTCAATAATTTTTACAAAATTTGATAAAATTTTTGCTTTTTATCCAAGAGAACAAATGTTGTCTTCCAAGAAGTACTCAGGTCAAATAAAGTTATGAAAATAAAATATGTGTCAAAATTACATCTTTAAGTATTCATACAGTTGCCAAAAATCACCTATTCCTAAAATCTCTGTATATTAATTAATAAATATCTAAGCTTTTTGCCAAATAAATAAATAAAATAAAACCTGTATGACTTTATTTGCAAAAAGGGCCTTTGTAGATACAATTTAAAATCTGAAGATGACCTCATTCTGGATTATGATGGGCTCTAAGTCAAATGACAAGTGTCCTTATAAGAGAAGTGGAGGAAACACACAGAGAAGAAGGTAAAGTAATGATAGAGGCAGAGACTGGAGTGATGGGCCCACAAGCCAAGGAAACCAAGGATTGTCTGCAGCTTGCCAGAAGACAGGAGAGGCATGGGAACAGATTCTCCCTCAGAGCCTGCAGAAGGAACAAACCCTGATGACACTTTCATTTTGAACTCCAGCCTCCAGAACTGTTAGAGAGAATAAATTTTTGTTCTGTACAGCCACCAAGATTGCGGTAATTCATTATGGCAGCCATAGGAAATTACAGATGAAATGATATGGTGTCCAGAATTTGCTTCAAAATAATAAGGGAGGAAATGGGTGAAATAAGTTTGATTGGCTACGAGTTGAAGCTGGCTGATGGGTATATGGAGGTCTAATATACGATTCCGTCTACTTTGGGTATGTTCAAAATTCTCCATAATAAGAAATTTTTATAAAAGAGATATTTAAAGCTCAAAAAGGTCTAGGAAATTACCTAGTGTGGCAGAAATTAGAAATTTGATAGAAGGATCAGAAGATAAAATTGAGACACTGTGTCAAAAATTAGAACAAAATTAAAGCCTTGGAAAATAGGAAACGGTTTTAAAAGTTAGAGGACCAGTCCAGAAGGTCCAGAAAGAAGAGAAAAAACATTCTGATATTAGAATGGTGCTCCGTGTGAAAGGGACTTGTTTTATTCACTGCTGTATCCCCCATGCCTAGGCGAGTAAGTGGCATATGGCCTCAAAAAATAGTTGTTGAATGACATAGGAGGAAACAGTTCAAGAAAACTTCTTAGAACTGAAGGAACTAAATTTTCAGTCTGAAGGGGCAAATTGAATGTCCAGCACAATAAGTGAACAGAGACTCACCAAAGTGCAATACTGTGAAATTTCAGAACAGCCAGGAACCAAAAAAAGGCCCTTGATTCTGTGCTTTCTCTCCAAGGTGAGAAAAAAGTGAGGAAAAAAAACAGGTGACATCCAAAGAATAAGGGCTCAGAATAGCTTTGGACTTCTCAACAGTAGCACTGAAGCTAGAAGATAATAAAGCAATCTTTCAAAGTTTTTTTTTTTAAGATTTTATTTATTTATTTTTAGAGAGAGAAGGGAGGGAGAAAGAGAGGGAGAGAAACATCAATGTGTGGTTGTCACTTGCGCCCCCACTGGGCGCCCTCAACACAGGCATGTGCCCTGACTGGGAACAGAACCAGTGACCTTTCAGTTTGCAGTCTGGCGCTCAATCCACTGAGCCACACCAGCCAGGGCAGATTTTATTTATTTATTTTTAGGGAGAAGGGAAGAGAGAGAGAAAGAAAGGGAGAGAAACATCTATTCGTTGTCTCTCACATGCCTCCAACTGGGGACCAGGCCCACAATTCAGGCATGTGCCCTGACCGAGAATCAAACCGGAGACCTTTCAATTTGTGGGGCAATGCCCAACCCACTGAACCACACCACTAAGGGCAAGCCTTCAAAGTTTTTAAGGAAGATTATACCTAGTCTAGAATTATAGGTACCTAGCCATACTATCAAATATGAGAGTATTATAGAATAAAGACATTTTCAGACACTCAAGTTCTCAAAAGATTTTACCGCCAAGTATCTCTATCTAGGAATCTACAGAGGCTATCCTCCACTAAAAAAAAAAAAAAAAATTGAAAAAGAAGAAGTTGTCACGAGGTGCAAGAAACACGAGATCATCACACAAAAGAGGCAAAGGGAGTGCCCGTTATGATGAGAAAGGGAGATTCCTGAATGGCAGCTGTGCCCGGATGTAGAGGGCCTCCAGTCAGGCTGCAATAGACTGGAAGGATCTCTAGGAAGATGAAATTGTATTCAGAAGAGATTCAGATAATTTCATAAGAGTTTGGGGATGGCTGCTCTGTCTGTGGAGTAGCCACTCTCTGTCTCACTAATAAGCTCTTCCACTTAAAAAAGAAAAGGAAAAGAAAAGGCTCTGGCTGGTGTGGCTCAGTGGATTGAGTGCCCACTTGCAAAACAAAGGGTCGCCATTTGGATCCCCAGTCAGGGCACAGGCCTGGGTTCCCGGCCAGGTCCCCAGTAGGGGGTGCACGAGAGGCAGCCACGCATGGATGTTTCCCTCTCTTTCTCCTCTTTCCCTCTGTCTAAAAATAAATTTAAAAACCTTTTAAAAAGAAAAGAAAAGAAAACCTTTGGGGTTAAATAAATATAAGAGTTTAGAATACAAAGCAAGCAAAGAGACATCAAAATAATTACTAACCTCAGGGAAAATAAAAAATTATGCAGAAGGAAAAGTAATCATGGCTTACTACTTGGCTGATCTGTGAATAATAAGACTCATAATATAAATATTGATCTAACCAAAATTACTACAAAACTGTGTTGGGAGATGAGGGGCAGGTGCACTGGTATGTCGGTAAGGCAGCTCTGGAGGGGTGGGGGAAGCCCTGATTTGCAGTGTGTTTGCTGAACTCCATGTTTTGTGCTCTCACATGGTTGATTTCCAGTTACCAATGTAATGTCCCTGGACATGAGTTTGGAAAGAGATGTGCAGAAAGAGTTCTTGCTAGTTGCTGTAAGCCAGCTCTAGCATACCGCTGAGTGGGGGAACAACAGTTCAAGCCTCACCTTCCAGAATGGGAATTCAATAGATACTGCCTGAAACTGAAACATCAAGACATAACAATAAAATTATATTATTTGGGATTGCTAAAAGAACTGAAGCTGGTTTTCTCTAGAAAGGGAAAAGTAGAGGATAGGGAATAGGGTCGGTTTTTTGTAACCAACAATGTACATCTGTATGATTCTTTAAATGGTGTACATATACAACTCTGATCAAAAAACAAAAATGAAATAAGAACAGCAGGTGAAGATGCCCAACACAGTCCTTGGCGCAGCCCATGCTCCCTTGTTTCCTCAGTGAAATACCCAGGCGTTTTGTGTGTACTTTGCTGGGGTGGAAGGGGCTTCTCTGTGTGTAGGACGGGGCTGGACACCTGTGGAATGTGGGTAGCTGGACCCGAAGTATACCTGAGCAGATGGGACTGGTGGCAGTAGAGGGGAGCATTAACATTTATTGGCATTTATCATGCCATGACAAGTACTTTGATAACTGCATAGTGCGTGTGTCTCTGTGGGAGAGGAAGGGCTTTGCTCAGTGTGGGGGGTGGTACTCACACTGCCTGGCCGAGGGCTGATATCATCAGGCACCTCATGAGAAGTCCACCGTGAAGTCTCTTTGTTCAACGCCTTGTAGTTTCCCTCAAAGACACGCTTGATGTCCTTGAGAGAGAAGGCACAGACAGCAGAGCTCCTGGTCCCTCCAATCTGCCTGCAGACAGCCGGTGGGAACAATGGGGACATTGTCTGTGAGCTCCTTGGCTGTATCAGGAAGCTACTCCTCCAGACCTGGCCCACCCTTGGTGAAAAACCCCAGGAAGGCAGGAATGTGGAGGGTTTGGCCAGCCTCAGGCTGCCTCTCCTTCCTCCAGTGGCTAGGGAAGGGCTAGGAGAGTTCCCGACTCTGGCCCACCTTAGAATCTGAAGTGTGATTATCCTTAAAGAGAATTAGCTGGGTCTCACGCCCTGGGGTTATTCCTATGGGAGGGGCAGGGTAATCAGTTCGTCACAGGCTCCAGATGAAGCCGTCCTGCTTTGGGTCCCTTGGATTCCTGGTCTTCAGAGAATGAACCAGAGCCTGACTACAAGACTCTTTTTATTCCTTCAGCCCTGGTCTGTGGAGACAGGTCTGTCTGTCTTGTTTTCTTTAAATCGACTGTGGCACACGCCATGTTCTAAGTTCTGGATGCCATAGATACCAGACCCTGTTTACACCAGGGATCTTTGATACCTGACACATGGTCAGCAGGTATCTAGAACACTGTGGAGCCCGACCACAGCAAATCAGTTAACTTTTCTTAGCCTCCAAGTAATGGCTGTATTTTTATCTTATGATGCTGATAGTGTTTCCCTCCGTGCTCTGGCCATTGGGAAGCTCAGAGCTAAATATGTGACTGGCACCCAGGGACTTATAAAGGACAAACATTTGTAATGTATTGATACTATCCTTGGCTTCTCTTATTTTCTTTTTATTCCCATTTCCTTATTGGTATTGTTTTATTTTTTATTATTTTGTTTTGTTTTAAAAATGGTTCCGTTTTATGAGTTGGCTCCTATCCTTTCTGGAACCAGGCAGGATATAAACTGTTAAGACCCTCTCTGAGCTAGCTTTATTATTCCCAGCTACGCGAAGAGCATAAATCAAATTCCTGGGAGGTGGTGACAATCTGTGCTCGACTCACAGCATTTCCTACACGCCCCCACCCCCCCTCCGCCCGGCCCCCCGCTCGGGCAAGCCAGGGCAGCAACGGGTGCTGGTCTCAGACCCTGCGTTCAGCCCCCAAGCTCCCGCCCAGGGGCCCGCCCAGGGGCTCACCACTGAGAGGTGAAGACTGCGTAGACGTGGGGATCGGTGGAGTCCGGCAGCAGGACGGCGTGGCGGATGAGGTTGAAGGGCAGCTGATCGCGCTGGGAGCAAAGCAGCTGGGCCTTCAGAAAGGTGGTCCATTTCTTCTGCAGCAGCTTTTCACCACCCCTGTCGTTCTAGGGACGAGGCTGAGTCAGGGGCACCTTTGGCTCCACGTGTCCCCGCCCGGCTTTTCCCTCTCCCACGGGGTTCTAGGCTCTCAGCCCCGCCTCTGTCATCTTCCTATTGGCTCCTCCATAGCCAGCCCCGCCTCCCACCCAGGCGACACACCTTACAGACTCTGGCTACTCTGGAAGTTCGGAGCTTGTCGAAGAACTCGAATTCGCTGGCTGTCTCCTCAAAGAAGAAGTAGACGACCTGAGTAGAAGGGATGGCGGCCACAAAGGAGGCGTCCGCTGCAGCAGGATTTGGGGGAAGGCAGACAGCCTTAAGGACTGAGCACCTGGATGCCCGGGTTTCCCTTGGTGAAAACCGTTGGGTTGGCTCTGGAGGCCAGGAGACAGGCGGCCTTGGATCCCACAGCTGATCGAAGGTGGCCATCGGAGTGGATGGGAGTGGGGGGAAGGGGACTGGTACTTTTTTATTTATGTAAGATGAAACCTTCATGAGGACGGGAGCTTTGTCTCCTTCCCTGCTCTCCCCCCCAGCCTCTAAGAGTACTGCCTTGAATGTAGCTTGCCCGCGACAAATGAGATTTGAAGTACCAGGTCTCCAGGACACTGGGGAAGGGGGCCAGACCTGTGCTGGGTGGGGCTCAGGTTCTTACATTGCAGCCAGCGGAGGTAATTGTCCGTCTTGAGGACAGGCGGGGATCCTAGCGTGCGGATCAGGATGGGCTCACTGCCCAGGAAGTTGTTCATGGTGCCCGAATAGAGCATTCCGTCTGGTGGGGAAGGAGGGGTAGACTTCATCAGTTGGAAGGTGCCCTGCCCTCCTCTGACCTGTCTATGGCCAGAATTCACATCTGCCTCCTATGTTCTACGCCTTCCTGTGGACCCTCAAAGCCCAGCTCACAGTCTCCACTGAGCACCCTTCTTAGGTCCTTCTGCACATAGAAAATGGCCAGCCCTTCTGGTCTTCTGTGGGCACTTTCCCAGTCTTTTTCTGGCTTCTCCCCAACACACCCAGCTGAAGCACTTGCCAAGTAGAATCACTAACTCTTCCCAGAAGGTGGCTGTGTTTTCTGCTTCCACACTTTGGGTCTGACCCTTCTCTTCCTGGAACACCTTCCCAGTCCATCTACCTATCTTTCAAGGTCCCACTCAGAAGTCAAAGGCCACCTCCTCCAAGAAGCCAGGTTGGGGAGTCTGTAATAGCTTGCGTTCAGGAGGGCACAGGGTTGTGATTTCCTCTCTGTAACCCCTACAAGTTGTTAGCACAATGCCTGGCACACCACAGAAAGTGTTCACACAGTGCCTGTTTGTTGAACAATTGAATGACTCTCAGGCCTCTTCTCTGCCTGAGACCTTTTCCTGACCCTCTTGACTCTATGTTTCTCTCCACAGACATTTCTCTTCACCTACTTTGTAGCAGCTTCAGCAGGAGCTGGAGGTTGGGGTGCCTGATTCTCCTTCTGACTTTGTGCTCTGAGGCCATTCCCCTCCCTCTGTCCCCTGCCTTTCAGAAAACTCTGTCAGATTCCATATGTCTCAGAGTGACCTGGGGAAGCAGATTCTGGGATGGACCAGGGAACCTGATACTTACCTACCAAGACAGCCGTGTGCTTATGGGCAGGGTCGAAGGGGCTTTGGCCTTTCCCCTCCACAACCTTGTCCTCCAAGATGGGCAACAGGGAGGAATTTTGGAGTTCCTACAGTGGGGAGAGGATGGGAGACTAGAATGCCAAAATCTCATGTCTGGAAAACGAGGGGTGTTGAGGAAGGGATAGGGACGTCGAGGGAAATTGATCTGGGGCCAGGAAGCTCACGAGGGCTCTGCATCTGAAAGACCAGAGCTTTCCAGAGCTTCAGAAGACGGGCTGGGAGTAGACATGGAGGGGAGGCTTGGGGCCTGAGAGCTGGGTACCAGGTAACTCACAATGAAGGTACAGGCAGGGCTGAAGGCAAAGGTGCCGCAGGCGTAGAGGTGGGTGGCATTGAAAGAGACCAGGACGCGGATAAAGTTGAAACACTGTGTCTGAAAGAGATACAGAAATCAGGCCTCCAGGTCACTTGCCCAAAACTCCTGGGCCCCCAGACTCCAATGCTCCCTCACTCCTCGTGGGGAGAAGAGCTAGGCAATGCCGAGGCCATCTGTATGTGTCTTCACAGAACGTGTTGCGGGCAATAATCATGCAAGCAAGCAGCCTCTGCTGCCTGCCCCACTGGAGGTGATGGTCAGGGGACACCAGGGTTCTCTACTTAGAGCCCTTATGGCCCCACCTCTGCTTACCTCATTGCTCTTCTTAAAGGCACATTCACTCTTTTTTTTGTCACTGGCCGGCCAGGATATCTGAAGTGGAGAGTTGGGAGGAAGAAGATGAAGGGATATGAGATAGCTTTAGCTTTGACTTGCTGTCCCCTCCTTGGCTCTGGTGTGATATCACCAGCACACATGTGGTAAGTGACCTACTCATGGGCTATAACAACGTCAGTTGGTGACCAGAACTATTACGTTGATGATACTGTTATTCATTAGATCGGCTCCATGCCAGAACATGGCCTGTAGAATCAGACCTGAGTTTGAATCTAGGCTCAGACATCCACCGATTAAGTGATCTTGGTTAATTCCACAGGCTTCTGGAGGACACAACTGGGTGGCATATGTAAAGCCCCCAAGGCAATGCATGGTATTCAGAGCAGCAGTTGTCAAACCACACATTTCCCACAGAAATGGTTAAACATGTCAGTTCCTGCATCACACCTCAGAGAATCTGCATGTTTAACCAGTATCCCACATGCCCATGGGCAGGCGGCCCGCAGACCACCCGAATACACGCAGGCTGTAGAGATGCTCCCTCATTACTAGCTCCCTCCCTCCTTCCCCTTTTTCCTTCCTTCTCCTTTTCTCCCTCACATTATTGCCATTAGTAGGGTAACTAAAATCTAACACAGAAGCTTCAGTAATTTCTACCAGTGGGTGGATATCACATTATTGATACAACATGAGTCAATGTTTCTCTCATGTGTCAATGTTTTCCATCTCAGCCATTTTAGCAATTCATATTATTCAACCAGTCATCATGATACCAAGGAACAATGAGGCCACTATGGTATTTCTTGTCTGTTACACAAACCAGATATATATAAAAAGAGTTGCTGATTGTTGCCGAATGCAGGTGACTGTTGAACAACATGGGGGTTAGGGGAACCAACCCCTCTGCACAGTGAAAAATCCACATATAAGTTTTGACTCCCCAAAACTTAACTATAGTTGTCCCTCAGTATCCACGGGGTATTGGTTCCAGGACTCCCATAGATGCTCAAGTATCTTATATACAATTAAATGGGATAGAACAATGCATACAGTCCTCCCTCGGCATCCATGGATTCCCAGCTGCAGACTGAAAATACTGGTTGAATTCACTGATGGGAAACCCTGTATTACAAAGGGTCAACTGTATATTTCTTGAAAAAAATCTGCATATAAGTGGACCCTCATAGTTCAAGCCCATGTTGTTCAAAGGTCAACCGTACAGATAACAGAAATTGGACAATTATAGGCTGCCCGAGCACAGGATCCTGCTGGCCCCCCTCACGTCCAGCCCACGCCCTTTATCCCCAGCCTCCTCACCATGTTCTTTAGCTTTGGCACACCTGGATCCTGGATATTCAAGGCTAGAATGGCTTCTCGGGCCCCCACATAGAGAGTGTCTCCATCACCACTCAAGAGCAGAGTGTCAAAATCCTGGAGGTTCTTCTGGTGGAAGAGGCTAAGAGCCCTGCGTCCATCCCCTGTCGGAAGGTGGCGAGAAGGGGTGAGTAAGGAGGAGCTGGTGGGGGGACAGCTGATTACTGAGATAAAAGCGGGGGAAAGGAAAGGGTTGGCAAAATGTGCTCCCCAGGCCTTGGCAGCTGGACCCATTCTTCTTCAGCAACCTACCCCCTTCACTCCCACCCTGGTGGCAGCCATAGGACCTTTGTGTGTTGAGCCCACAGAAGAAAGGAGAGGCAGCCAAAGGGTGGGTGATGACAGCCTGGGGCCGGGAGGGTTGCCCGTACCCGAGAGACAGACAAAGGAACAGGATATAAGTGAGGCACAAGAGTATGCTCCTGGAGGGCTGCGGGGCTACAATCGGGGAAGAAATGAGGTTCCTCACTAGCAGAGGGAGCGGAAGGCAGGCAGACAGACAAGAGGGTGTTGGCAGCCACAGGCAGGACAGCTAGACACAGACAAGGCTGTGTCAGAATAGCTGTGGGTTGTAGGGTCCCACTTGCCAGCCCTACTTCCTTCCTCTCCCCTACTGCAGGAAATTTCCACCACTAGACTCACTGCCATAGGCTAAATAGAAAGAAAAGATCTTTCTTCAAAGGTCCCCTGGGCATGTCTGGATGTTACTTGGACAGGAGACATGAGCCTAGGTGGCTCATCTAGGTCCTTTCCCTCGCCTTGGGTAGTGATGGGGTATGTGTGTTCCTGTCCCACTGGCCATCAGCGAAGGAGAAGGAGCTCCTTCAATCCTCTCTCATGGGCACATTTGCATCTTTACTCTAGTTAGAGTACTGACTAGCTAATCGTTACCTTTGAAGGCTCAGAGTCTTAGACAAGACCAACAGGAGGAGCTGGGGAACAGTGTGTGGCAGAGTGTTGGAAGGGCTGGCCTCCCCCACAACTGTATAAACCCCTCCGCCACAGAAATGATCACCCTGTAGCATGACTGTCTGATTGCTCATTTGCTTCCCCTCAGGACTATGAGCACCTTGAGGGCAGGAGCTGAGTCTTGATTATGTTGGTAATCCCAACACCCAACACAGAGGAGGCCTCTCCATCAATGGGCAACACGCATTTCCTTTACCACAATGCCCACCCCAGAAAGATGCTAAGTGCTCGGGATCCCCTGCCCCTACTACTCCTTCAGGGCCCATGTCCTTCCTTGAATCTTCTCTCTGGAGGTGAGAGGGCCAGCAGTCCCACAGCCTCAGTAAGAAAGCAGCCAAGCTGTGCCTACAGGGTTTCGGGGCCTGTGCCCTGGCTGGGCCGCCCTAAGTTCTCGTCTCCCTGGTGTCCATGGTACTAGACACAGCACAGTCCAGCATGATCTGTGTGGCCATAGGCCTGGAGTGTTCTGAGTCCCCAGGTCCACAGGTAGGTAATCTTCTAGCATAGGCCTTGGCTTTGGGGGCACCTAGGGGCATGAAAGCAATTTCAGGTTTGAGGTGCCCAGCTTGATGATGGTGACATTGAAGGTGGGAAAGAAAAATCGCCAGTCCTGGAGAACCGGAAGGAGTGACGCCCCAGCCCCCAGCCCCTCTTGTCTCGTTCCTTAATCTTCACCCGAAGTAGTTTCATCTCTTCTCTCTCTGTCAGTCTGAACTTCTATTTCTGCCTGTCCATCTGTCCCTCTCAGAGGCCTCCCATCTCTCCCTGGCCTCTCTCTCCATTTCTCCACGTCCATTTGTCTCCCCTCCCCTCACTCTCCTCTCCTTCCGCCATACCCCTCCAGCTCTGCTACTGCCGTCCCCACACTTCCTGGCCGTCAGACACTTACCCGCATAGTATCTGACCCTGGGCACGGGCCCCTGCCCACCTTCCCCTGTGGTCGTTGTCGGCATCGGCAGCAGCAGCAGGAGCAGGTGGAAGAGGAAAAGGCCGAGGAGGCTCCAGGGGTCCAGGCCCAGGGCTGGCAGGGCCATGGTCAGCCAGAGGCTGTCACCAGAAGGTTCTGAGGAAACGGGCACAGGAACGCTCTCTGAGTTAACAGTCCTCACCACATCCCCCCACTGGGGACCAATGAGAGAGCCCCAGGCAGCAGAAGTACATACTTGAGGGGTGTCAGAGAAAGCGACAGTTTCCTCTCAGAGGGCGCCCGTGGAGTCTCAGTTCCATCACCCTCACAGGCCTCAGCTGCTGCCTCGCTCTCCCCTCTGGAGAGGAGTCTGGTTTTTCCTATCCTGCCCTTCTGATCTCTTTTCACTAATAGCCCAGCTCTGCCTTTTATCGCGTCACTTTCAGGTAAGTCCTTCTTGCTATCTGCTCTTTGCCTGCCTTCCTCCCATAGCCAAGAGCCCAAGCCATTGCCTGGCCCCAGGCAGGAGACTTTCTGGGAAACAGATTCCTGTGCTCAAATATAAATTCCTCAGACCTGACTCTCCTGGCTCCGTTGAATCTGCGGCTGCCGTGTCTCTCATGCTTACCCTCGTCCTGTGATGACCCAAGCGGGCACAGGTCTGAGTCAGCTGCAGCGACCTTGCCCCATCCCCAGCTGGGCTTGAGTCTTTGACGCTCAGGCCTACCTGGCCCTGTCCTGGTAGGGAGGCAATGAGAGCACAGCCCGCCAAGCCTGGCGAAGAGCATTGCCTGGGAAGTGGCCCGGGACAGGCAGCGGCGAGCTGTCTCCCAGCCTCTGCGGCTGCCCACCCTCCCCCTGCCCTCTGTGCTGCTGCTGTCTGTCTCCTCAGGGATCTGCATAAACTTCTTCCCAGGACCGCCAATCCCTGGCCACCCACCGTATCTCACCTACCCTTGTGCCAGCCACAGTGTAGAACCCAGGTGTCTGGACTCTCAGGCGGAGGTGCCATCCAAGAGAAAGAAGGTGAGTGGGGGTTCCAGGCCCCAAAAGCAGGGGACAGAGGCTCAGCCCGGCTGGGCCAGGAGTGAGACCCTCCAGCCACCCATCGTGCCAAAGCTAACACTGGGAGCTCCGGACAAGGGAAACCAGAATTTCCACCTCTCGAGTTGTGACAGATCCCAGGCTTGGCGGAAGTTGGTAAATTGGGAGGGGAATAAAAGGAGACACACCTCTCCCTTTCCCTCTATTCTTGCCTCTGTCTATCCAGAAAGTTTAAAAGGCCAGAAAGTTTCTAGATCATTTCAGCCACTTTTCTGTCTCTCTATTATGATTATGGCACATCTAGTCTAACCAGGCGGGAGATAGGACGTTGCCTTTCATATTCCTTTTTTCACTTACCCACAAGGTGGGGTTTCTCCACTCCTACCTACAGGGAAGTCCCTGCAGTGGTCTAACCTTCAAACCTCCCACTTCCAGCTGAGCCATAACCTTTTAAACATAAAACAATTGCACTGGGCTCTTATCTATGGCTTCGAAGAGGGTATCTCTCTGGTAGCCTAATCTCCATCACTCCTAGGGCAGCATCAGGCTAGTGGGAGGCCCAGAAAGCTTTCCATCTGAGCTCATACTTCTGAGGCACCCAGCCCCCCCCCATAGTGGCTGCTCACCCCTCCCTGACAGCTCCAGGGGGAACCTCATAATGCAGGGTTAATGAGGCATCTAGCACCAAGGGCTCCATGACCTACAAAGGGGGTAGCTTCCTGCCCACTCAGCCCTAGACAGCTGACTGCTAGTTAAAGAGCACAGCCATCCAAGGCAAATCCGACTCCAATAAATAACCCGCCTCCTTCTTAAGTGCACATTCCACACTGTCAGGAAGTCCTTCCTGTAGTGTAACTTCCATCCCTCTTGCCATAGCACCAGCCTGCATGGTGATGGTACAGCCTGAGCTATTACTTAGAAGAATTCCTTCTCAAAGGTTGTTCAGCCTTCTTTCTTTCTTCTTCCCTCATTTTCCCCGAAGCATGGTCTCAACCAGACCCCTCCTGACCATTTTCTGTCAAGACTTGCCTAAGACTCCCTCAGACTCTCAGGGAACTTGTTGCCAGGTCCTTGGGAGAAGCCATGAACCAAGCCCCCAGAGGAAGTCTTCCTGACTCTCAGGGTCAAGGGAAACTCCCACCCAGACCCCAGCTCAGATCTGGGAACCTGCCCTGACCCTGGGCCTCTCTGCTTGAACAGATTGGCTTATCTGGGTTGTTGGGAGAGGTTCTGCTGCCGGACGGTGAGGTGGGGGAGAAAGTTCCAGCCCTACGCTCCCAGCCCGCCACCGGTCTCTGGCTTCTCTGGAAGTGTTAGGTAACTCCCTGCTCCTAGTTCCCCCTTCTCAGAGACCCAGGAATTCTTCTTCAAGACCCAGGCTTCCTTTTCCCCTGCCCCCCGCCCCCCCCGCCCCCCCCCCCCCCGCCAATAGGAATCATCTGCATTATCAGGCTGTGGCCTACCCAACAATTGCAGCAGATAGGTACCACCGGGACCCCATTTTACAAATGAGAAAGGTGATTCAGGGAGGTTACGCAACTGAAAGCCAAGTTCAAGTCAGATCAGCCTCATTCAAAGCTAATTCCTTAGTGCCCTGACTAGTGCGGCTCAGTGGGTTGAGTTGCCAGTTGGATCCGCGGTCAGGGCACTTGCCTGGGTTGTAGGTCAGGTCCCCAGTTGGGGACATGCAAGAGGCAACTGATCAATATTTCTCTCACACATTGATGTTTCTCTCCCTTTCTTTCTCCCTCCCTTCCCCCTCTCTAAAAATAAATAAATAAATCAAAGCTCTTTAACAACAACAACTAATTCCTTAGCTACACTGTCTCTCCGGAGTCTTACTCTTGCTTTAGTCCAGGAAACTCACTTGGCCTCTTGGATGGAGGAGACAAGTGGGCGGTGGCAGCAAGCTCTAGCTCCTCTGGTCTAAGAAACAGCATCTCTGGGATGATTCCTGACTCAGGAGGGAACAGAAACCTCTGTGAAGAGAGGCCATCGGATGCCACCTCCAGTCTCCGCAGGGCCTGCTGGTCCTACTCCATGAAAGGGCCCGATGGAGAGGCAGAGCTGCCTGCCCCCTCCCACTGCCCCTCTTGCACTAGAGCCCCTGGAGTCAGATTCAAAGTCACAGCGCCACCTCGGCTGCAGCCCTGGCTGAGCCCACCTTCAGGGCTGGCTTCATGAGCACATGACCCCGGAAGTCAGTCCCATAGGGCCCCACGCTCAGAAGGGCTCATGCTTCATCTAATGTTCTACTGCAGCTGTCTTGAAAGTCTTGATCATTTTTGAGCAAGACGCCCCACATTTTCATTTTGCACTGAACCCCACAAATGATGTAGCAGGTCCTGCCTACAGTGTTAGGAAAGCTCTGGGCTGACAGGGTCCCTTGTACCAATGAGGAAACCAAGGCCAGGGAGCAGAAGTGTCTTGGCTGGGTTGGAGTCAGGCAGCGGCTGAGGTGGGGTGGTGGAGGGTAGGGGTCAGATGTTCAGGGACCATGCTGAAGGGGCCCTGTCATTTCAGGCCTTAATGTGGGGGTTCCCCAGCTCCTTTCTCCCAGAGGGTGCCCAGCATGGGGACCCTCATGACAACAATGCTGAGTTCAACCCCATCCCCCTACCCCAGGGTCCAGCTCTTCTACAGACTCCTCCCCTACAGCCCCTGGACCACATCAAACAGGAGCCCCTTCCTGGCGGGGCTTCTGGCTCGGGGAGAGATCCAGATGTGGGGGCGGGGGTGGGAGGGGAGACGGTGATGTCACTCTTCACCCCTAGCCCATGCTCTCCCCAGGGCTCTCTCTCTTCCGCACCCCTGAAGCATGGAAACCTCACTGAAGGAGGGGATCCTGGAGCCAGGAGAGAAACCACCCCGGGCTTCACCCAGCAGGTCCCGTGTCCCCTCGCCCCTCTCTCCTCCAGCCTCGGGCCGCCCCAGAAAAGCACAGTCCTGGAAAACATCGGCTTCCTGGTTCCCTTTCCTTAGCCCCACCTGCCCTGCTCCTCATTGCCCTCCTTTTATAATCACAAGCTAGTCAAAGGAACTTATATTTATTAAGTGCCTACTGTGTGAAAAACACTAGGCTTGTTCCCAAGCCTTGTTCCCAAGCCTCTACACACCCAGGATCCCCCAACCGCTCCCCCTGCCCACTGTCTCCCAGCTCTCTCGCCACCTGCCCAGCCCCATCCCTCCACCCCCTTACCCCAGCACGTCCTCGGTTTCCTCCTCCAGTCTGACTAGCGCTAGAAGGCTGAGCTGAATATCACACACAATGGCCGGACCCCCTCCGCCTGCCCCCTCCTCAGGACACAGCAGCGCCAGACAATGGCCCGCCCTCTCCTTTCAGAACTGCCGGCTCTCTGGCTTCCTTACCTAGAGCTTGGGGATGCTGCCGCGTTTCCCTCCCCCTGGAAAGCCAGGCTCTCAGTCTCCCGGTGCTTAGTCCTGCCACCCCCCCCACCCCCCATCCCCTACCCCATCCCACCTCACTGGTCCTCAGTCACCATGGCGACCGCATCTCTAAGTGGGAGGGACTAGAATCTCCCCATATTCTTCCTCCTCCTACCCATGTCCCCCTGCACCCCACCTTCTGCAGCTTCTGGATCCACATGTGGAGGAGGCAAGGTTCCAGGTGTGGGGGGAGATGGGAGGGGCCCACTAGCCCCTGGGGGTCATTGTTCAGCTCCCTTGCCCGTTGTTAGGCAGACACCACAGCACAGATGTCCCCAAGATGGGTTCAGGGTTAGTTGGGGTCAGCTCTCCTTATGGCCAATGCCTCTGGTCTTCTCTCTTCCTACTGTACACATGCAAGGTGGTCATACCTGGGTGCCAGCCAGCTTGACCCCATACACATTGAGTTTGCCAATGAGGATGCAAATAAACACATAAATATCTACACAAATAAACCAAGAGACAGGGTCTCATCTCAAGAAGCCTAAGAAACCCTCTTCTGTTAATACCATCCTAACTTCTGCGGAAGGGGAACACCTCCAGCTTCCTGGTCAGCATCTTACCGAGAAGATGACTTCTCCAGAAGCCTCTGACTAACCCTCTGAGACCTATAAGGAGGGAGGGGTTTGTGCTGTAAGAAAAGGGATGGAA